CAAGTATAGTAGTCCTTATGTACTGGTATGCAAGCATATTCAGGTAATCATGCCCCCACGGTTATACGGGATCAAAGTTTTACATAAGAATACAAACGAACAAAGCCTTCTTAAGAACAGCAAGGTCTTGGTTAGTCAAATTGATATGCAGAGCCTACAAGATTGGTTATATACATTGTAAATATGTAAGCATCCTTGGAAAATCCCGACTCAGATTTGTTCAAATCATGGACTTGAGGGTAAGGTTGGATCCACAAAAGGAGAATATATAGGAAAAACTCTATAAAAATTAAATTCTTTGATTAAGAACAGCAAGGCTATGATTAGTCGTATTAATATGCTAACATTCTCAGATATAGTGTACTTTTTAATCCATGGTCCCTAGGTGTGAGTCACAAAAGGGGAGGAAAGTTTGATAAAGTAATATATAGGACATTTTATCTTTAAAACAAGATGAGTTTGTGAAACACTTATGCCCCCGTAAGGCAGCTCATTGCGAAGATTAAAGTTTCTCAAATGCGAGTAAAATTCCCAAGGTCAAGGTAAACGGATGCAAACTGTTGGTCCCAAGGGAAGGCCTTGTCACAAGGAAAACACATGTGAAATATGAAATCCCTAGCACCAACTATTCAAAAGTTATGGCCAAGGTTAAAGTTTTTCAAAAGTAGGTCAGACTCCAAGCTAGGTCTAGATCAAAGGGTCAAATTTGTTGGTACACAGTGAAAGCTCTTTTCACAAAGAATATACATGTGAATCATGAAAGTTCTAGTACCAACCGTTCAAAAGTTATGGCCAATGTTAAAGTTTTTCAAAAGTAGATAAACTCCAAGGTCAAGGTCCAAGGGTCAAAATTGTTGGTACCCAAGTGAAGGTCTTGTCACAAGGAAAACATATGTGAAATATGAAAGCCCTGGTACCAACAGTTCAAAAGTTATGACCAAGGTTAACGATTTTGTTAAGTGGGTCAAATTCAAAATTGTTGTTGCCCAAGAGAAGGTCTTGTCATAAGGAATAAACATGTGAAGTATGAAAGCCCAAGAAGGTATGGCCAAGGTTAAAGTGTTGTAAAATTTTGCAAAAGTGGGTCAAACTTCAAGGTCAAGAGGTCAAATATGTAGGTACTCAAAGAAAGATCTTGTCACAAGGAATACATATGTGAAATATGAAAGCCATAGGTCCAACCAATCAAAAGGTATGGCCAAGGTTAACGTTATTGCGGACAGACAGACAGAAGGACGGACAAGACAGGAACTGTATGCCCCCAAATCTGCGATTACGGGGGCATAATATTTAATTTCCTCTCAGCAACAACTGGGACATAATAAGTGATATAAATATGCAAGCATCCTCAGATGGTAAAGGTCCAGGTTTCATTTTAAATTCCCCCCCCCCCCCTTTATATTTGGGATAAAATTTCATTTTTTTATGTGCATAATCTAAAATTAAAAAAAAAAACAGAGTCAAGGTTGCTCTCGTTTGATTATACAACTGCTTGTGCTCAATATTTTTGTTTCTCGAGATTCTTGCCAAGCTTGTATTTTTAAGGGGGAAAAATTGGCATATTGGCATTCATTTCTATTGTTTCCTCGATCTAAGCCAAGATGCTACATTTCATACAAAACTTAAGCAGAAAAATTAACCCAACTGCAGGATCAAAACATATGTCGGTGACATATGATTTAGGGCCTTTTCAAGATCTTATCTTTTATGTAAATAGCAAAGAGGATAGCGTATATCAAACATAATGACTTCAGATGTTTTTTTTTAAATAAAAGAAGATTAGGAAGCCAGATATCACACGAGTGAGTACCAACTACACCTGTTTAATGAGATTGACATCGGTAATGTGTAGTTTTTTGGTAGATTTTACGCACAATTACATGTACGTGTAAAACATCTTAGCACAGTCAGTCTGTCTGTTAATTCATGCTCAATGACAGCTAGCGATTTTTATAGTAACATTAATAAAGCTGCATATACATGTATATCTTTTTATGCCCCCGTAATCGAAGATTCGGGGATATATAGTTTTTGCCCTGTCCGTTCGTCTCTCTGTTGATCTGTTTGTCCGCAAAAACTTTAACATTGCCCTATAACTTTTGATTGGTTGGAGCAATGACTTTCATATTTCACATGTGTATTCCTTGTGACAAGATCTTTCTTTGGGTACCATCGTATTAGACATTTTGACCTTGACCTTGGAGTTTGACCCAGTTTTGCAAAACTTAAATCAACTTTAACCTTGGCCATAACTTTCGAACGGTTGTGCTAGGGTTTTCATAATTCACGTGTAATTCTTGTGACAAGACCACCTTACTTTGAATACCAACATCTTTGACCCTTTGACCTTGGAGTTTGGTCTACTTTTGGAAAACTTTAATCTTGGCTATAACTTTTGAACAGTTGTAGCTAGGGCTTTCACACTTCAAATATGTATTTCTTGTGACAAGACCTTTCTTTGGATACCAACAATGATAACCCATTAACCTTGACCTTGGAGTTTGACCTACTTTTGGAAAACTTTATCCTTGGTCATAACTTTTAAATAGTTGGTGCTAAGACTTTAATACTTCGCATATGTAATCTTTGTGACAAGACCTTACTTTGGATACCAACAACTTTGACCTTGACCTTGGAGTTTGACCTACTTTTGAAAAACTTTAATCTTGATGGCCATAACTTTTGAATGGTTGGTGCTAGGGCTTTCATATTTCACATGTGTATTTTTTGTGAGAAGGCTTTCCTTGGTCACCATTAATTTTGACCGTTTGACCTTGATCTTGATGTTTGACTTACTTTTGAAAAACTTGAACCTTTTCCATATCTATTCAATGGTTGCTGCTAGAGCTTTAATATTTCACAGGTATATTTCTCGAGAAAAGACCTTACTTTGGGTTCCAAAATCTTTGATTTGCACTTGAAAAAGTTTAACCAAACGGTTGGTGTTAGGGTTTTCATAATTCACGTGTAATTCTTGTGATAAGACCACCTTACTTTGAATACCAACAACTTTGACCCTATGACCTTGGAGTTTGACTTACATTTGGAAAACTTTAATCTTGGCCATAACTTTTGAACAGTTGTTGCTAGGGCTTTTATACTTCAAAAGTGTATTTCTTGTGACAAGACCTTCCTTTGGATACCAACAATGATAGCCCATTGACCTTGACCTTGGAGTTTGACTTACTTTTGGAAAACTTTATCCTTGGTCATAACTTTTAAATAGTTGGTGCTAAGACTTTAATACTTCGCATATGTAATCTTTGTGACAAGATCTTACTTTTGTTACCAACAACTTTGACCTTGGAGTTTGACCTACTTTTGAAAAACTTTAACCTTGATGGCCGTAACTTTTGAATGGTTTGTGCTAGGGCTTTCATATTTTTCATGTGTACTTCTTGTGAGAAGGCTTTCCTTGGTCACCATTAATTTTGACCGTTTCACCTTGATCTTAATTGATGTTTGACTTACTTCTGATAAACTTTAATCTTTTCCATATCTATTCAATGGTTACTGCTAGAGCTTTCATATTTCACAGGTATATTTCTCGAGACAAGACCTTACTTTGGGTACCAAAATATTTGATTTGCACTTGAGAAAGTTTAACCTTCACTATAAGTTGCCATACAGGGGCATCATTGTTTCATAAACACATCTTGTTTTTAATATTCTGACGTTATAATAAACATGTACTACTCTCTTTTTTATGACGTAGTGAGCTCGTATCACCGTAGCCAAAACCAAGATTACTTTCTGAATAACTTAGCAGTTCATTGTTGAACTGCATTGTTATATTCATAATGTCAGAGAAAGTTTGGAACACTATATGGAAATATATTTTTAAAAAAGTTTTAGAGATCAGCATGACTTCAATATACATTATACTCGCACTTTCTAAGGGAAGTTCGGGTACCCGGTATATTGCTGTTATTCCGCTCCATCTGACACACCATCTTCTTCCTTAAACTCCTTTTACATTAAGCAGAGGCCAATTCAAAGGACAAGGTATGGTAACGGCAAAATTTGGCCCCTTATTTGATATAAAAATCAGTACACAGCTAAAATTGTGATGGTTTGCAATTAAGAACTTTGAATGTTGCTTGCTTTAAAACCAGCACTAATTTTGATTCAAAGTGTATAAGGATGTAAAAAGAAAGTGACTTAGTATGACATTTTACGGAATATTCCTCAGCTTTGTTGGAATTTCATAAAAAATGAGATATTTTTCACTTTGGAGAACACAAAGCACAATTAAGCTTGCCTATCTTAGATTTTCATACAAAAGATGCATCTAATACAAATGAAATGTATTAAATTTGACGTATATATGCAAGCTTGAGCTCTGATTTCCGAAAAGAATGTGCTTTAAAATTTATGAAAATTTGAATAAATTATGAAAATGCAGAAATTGGCACTTTGTGACCTCTTTGAATCCCCTTACTAAGAATCAATACTCATTTTGTGACAGGGATGAGTGTAGATTTCTAATGATGAACTATTGCATCGTTCTAACAGACACCCAAAACCAGGGGCCAAAAAGGGGTCTTAGCCTACCTTGTCCTTTTGAAATATAATTATTAAATTTCAATAGATTTGCAATTCTAGGGCTCGGGAGTTTGGAGGCCAATAGAGGGAATAGTAGAAAACAAATGTCATTTTCGGTGCCTAATTGGTCCCCAGGAAAACCCCATTGACCTTCTGCAGGACACCACAAATCATTTCACATGTATGTACAGTGTATAAGTACAGTGTATAAATCTAAAATTTTTAAGGTTCTATTCTAAGTGTAAATTGATTAAAGCTTAGCACCATATTCTGTTTCCCTGCATGATTTTTTTTTGACTGAGAAATAAGTTTATATAATCCTCAATTACTCGTTTCATAACAAAGCTTAATTACATTGTAAGTAAAAATACTTTAAACCATCAGGGAATCAGAATTTCTTAATGGCAGAAAACCCATTAAATATACTTCTTCAACTGAAGAAAAGAAAGGCTTAATTACTGTATTATATTTATTTCCCAGGGCAAAATAGGGTTAAACAAGTCTGATCATGAGTAATGATCTAAAATCTTTCTGGTATCCTAAATTATGTAACAACTTCTCATCATTCACTTAATATCAACCAGACTAATAATTTACATATGGCATTATGCATTAACAACAGCTTTCTCCTCAATTTTAAACATTCACAAATTTCGCTCATATCACAGGATTATTGTTTTAGATTTAAACAATATATCAGCAGTGTTGTCCATGAAAGCTCAGAAATGATTATTCCTCTATACACAATGTCAAGAAAAGGACTGAAGATTATTTGCTCTGAGTTTCCTTTCATTCATCTTCATACATTCATTCATCGTGCTTGCCATAAAGTCTCTCTCATTGGCAAAAGCGATGGCTTCATCCCTTTTCCTTGACCTGTACCCCCTAAGTACAGCTGTGTGAGGGTTGTCCTTAGCCTCTGGGTGATGTGATTTGTATTTAAACTCCATTCTTGTGATGACTGGGAGACAGAGGCCATTAGGGAGAGGTACAAGGTCATTACCTGTCCGTCTGTCTACATACTCTGGGTGTTTTTTGCGAACAGCTACAACGTCTGATAATGACTGCTCCCTGGCTTGTTCCAGATCTGTCAGAACTCGGTCAGGGTATGTCTCTCCTGTGGAAATCAATAAGAATCAATTGAATATTAAGAGCTGTTTATTGGGAAGGAAAACATCTGAAGGGTTCAGTCCATGTCCAGCAAAAAAAAATGTTCTAACAAGCTATGGAAATTTCTAAGGATACTCCAAACCTAGATCTGTGTATGGAACTTACCTAATTTTACACCACATCTTCTAAGAATGGAGGGGGGACATTTCCAGGGCTGGTGTATGAAGTCGTTAGGGAGGGAGGCAATCTCTGGACACCACCGCCTAACATAAGCTCCATCTGGGTCACAGGTCAAGGCTGCGTCCACAGGATGCATGACAAAATTCCACTGATCTAAACCACTCATACCACCATTCTGCCACATCATAGCATTAATAGCCACATCAGCATCCAACAGAGTGTCCTAAATAATTCACAATACAAAAAATATATATATCTCACTTACTTTCTTATACAATGAATCTTTAGCATTAGATTCTTTCAGTGAAATTCTTCAGTTGAACTCATTTTTTTTTTTTTGAATTGCTCTTATTTATATTTGTATTATATATAATTGTATCATGTGAAAATTATAATCAGTACTGACAATTCAGTGTAAAAAAACTTTTTCCATATCTTTCTAAATGACACTGTTTTCTGCATAGCTACTACATGTAATTTACACTGAATAAAAAAATCATTTGAAGTATTTTACATGAAGTTTAAAACAAAAGACACTGACAGGTTATTTTAAATGAATTGTATAGTTAGATTGTCACTACGTAATCCAGTGAGAATTTTTCAATATGATGAAATGAAAGCATCACAGTAAATCTTTAAATATGTGATATAGCATTTAATTGTTATTTTACTCCTGTAATACAACATTGAATCCTAAATCCTCACAAAGCTGGGCTGTTATATAACCACTCATTGTACACCCTTCTTTTAAAGACACTAAAGCAAATTCAAAAATTGTTTTTAAAAAAGTCAGGGAAATCAACACAAGAAGTAAATATACCTTATTTAAATCAGGAAAATACACCATTAACACAACAAGAAAATAAATTTTGTGTATACCTGGAACCACCTATATCCCTCCACCCAGTGAATGCGGAGGTAGGATATGAGGAAGGAGGCCACCACGTGCCTGAGGTAGTTATTGATCCACCCCTCTAACCACAGTTGTCTCATAGCAGCATCCACAAGAGGGAACCCTGTCCTTCCCTTCTGCCAAGCCTTCAAGTGAATCCTGTTAGTGCTCCACACCTGGTCCTTTAATAAAAAAAAAATATTCTTTAGTTGTGCTTTAAAACTTATGCCAGCATTGTTGATAGTGTACTAATATTAAATCAAAGACAATTGAAGTTGTATGTCAGATATTAGATTAATGTTTCATTGTGTACCAAATCACTTTTTATTTGCAAGAAATTTATCTTCATGTAATAATGTGAGACTGTCTGCTAACAAAAATTTTATTCACATATATGTTTTTTCCATCAAGGTCATATTTAAGCAGCAATAACCGGAGTTTGTGAAAATTTTATCATAGATACAGTACCAAATACCAGTACTGTTACAGTAGATTCCTACATATGTAAATACATGCGAGGAATTAATTATCACAAAATTTCACTAGAAGCAGCACTTACAAAATAAAAAAAAAAAAAGACTTTTATTTTTATGGTGTTAAAATCAATATAGTCTTTTGATCAACTGTCCAAGTGCGAATTATTCATTTATTGTTCTGGCGATTTGATGTCAAAGAACCATTTCGCAATATTGAGTACCAGCATAAAATAAGGAATCTACATTAGCTACTTCATGAGAATAAGATGTCATGAAAATTTGGTCATAAACAGTGATATAGGTTTAACTGAATTTATTCAAAACACAGACTGAGGCACCTGGTTCCAGAATTTTTTAAATTGGGCCTTCACAGTTTGTGAAACTGAGATGAATTCACAATTTGTTACATGTCATTAAAATTAGTAAAATTTACAACTAACTTTATCCTGTAAAGTATCCTGGTAGGTGGTCTTACCCTGCAATGTACCCTGGTAAATGGTCTTTCCCTGAAATGTACCATGGTAAATAGCCTTACCCTGTAATGTACCCTGGACCCTAGTATATGGTCTTTCCCCGTAATGAACCCTGGTAGATAGTTTTTCCCTGTAATGAACCCAGGTAGAAAGTCTTTCCCTGTAATGAACCCTGGTAAATAGTCTTACCCTGTAATTAACCTTGGTAAAAAGTATTACTCTGTAATGAACCCTGTTTAGATGGTCTTACTATGTAATGTACCCTGGTAGATGGCCTTTCCCTGTAATGTACCCTGATAAATGGTCTTTCCCTGTAATGAAACCTGATAGATGGTCTTTCCCTGTAATGTATCCTGGTAAATGGTCTTTCCCTGTAATAACCCTGGTAAATAGTCTTACCCTGTAATGTACCCTGGTAAATAGTCTTATCCTGTAATGTACCCTGGTAAATAGTCTTACCCTGTAATGGACCCTGGTAAATGGTCAGGGCTTGAAATAATTAATGGCCCGCTGGTCTGGGGCCAGCAAATTTTGGATTTGGGCTAGTGCTATTAGAAAGCATATGTTCTTGGGACCAGTGATTATTTTATGCAAATCAAAATTCATTCATAGTTGGCTAGTTTACTAGACAGATTCCTTGTTTTGTTAGTTTGTACTATGAAATAACGCAATGTTTATTTAATATCACAAAGATTTCTAAAAACAAATTTTTTGAGGAGTGTATTCTTACTCATTGTAATGTTTTCTAAATGATGTTTCACCACGGTGGAACAAGATATAATGTATTACAATAAACAAGAAATATGTGCAGTAAACAAGGGCTATGCTGAATCTAAAAGTGGCACTACAAGAGGTGATTAAGAATTAAAATTCGACAGTGAAGAAATATGATTTTTTTAACTGTTGGTTATTAAAATTGAAAATAGATTCAGTTACATGTACATTAAATGTAGTCTAATTTTAATCCCCTTTCAATGAATTTGGAGGGGGATGTAGTAATCGCCAGTGAGTTAAGGCTAGGTATAGGCGTTTCTATGCAAATGAGCTAATAAAAACGCATAAAAGGTATATTTATTATTCAGAGAAAGATTAGTGTTGATTTATTTTCTTAAGCATGCTTAGTACCCACGATATCTTATAGCCAGTACACATTATGACATCAATCTATGAAGTCACTGATCTTACCTACTGGAGGTAATAAAACACATCAACAAAACATCTTCAGCGCAAGGGATTACCCTATTTATTTTTACATAAAACTTGTATAATGCTAAAAAGAATATTCTATAGATTAATTAAACTGCTGCACAAATCCTAGGCATTTTTTCATTTGATCGGAATTTGAGAAAACTTATACCGGACTGTACATTTCACCCTTATTCAACTTAAAACTTTACAAATAGGAATTATACAACTGAACTGCTGATATTTGTGCAGAAATGCCAGCAAACTTTGAAATATTTTGCTTCTAAATATACCTTGTTTCAGTTGAATTAAATAGAGCATGCCCTTGCATTTTTGTTGATATCCATTATAATCTTGTGTAGTAAAGAACAATGACGTCATAATGTGTACTGGCTATCTCATGTCGTGGGTACCAAGTATGTATTAGACAATAAGTTTTAACTTTCCCTGTATAATAGATATAGATCTTTGGCATTTTAATTACATTATTTGCATAGAAATGCCTATACCTAGCCTTAACTCACCTGTGATGGGCTTATGCAGATGAATGACTTAGTGTGTGCATAATGGAAGTTATGAAGCAATAATTTATATCAGGATTGATGTGCTCTTTTGCTAGGGGAAGCTCCGCCATGCAGTGTCCTTGTTAAAGACCCAATTTTTTTACCGTATGGTTACCTGAGGAGAGGGAGTGGTCTTAGTTGTACTAGTGTTATTTACCTGGAAAACCCCAATACTCAAGATGTCAAAAATCTCTATACACACTGTAGTACACAGGAAGTTTGTCTTTGGTAATCAGGATCAACATTACGCATTTTTGTCTAATTTTGTGAGACACTATTGTAAATAATTTTTATATTTTGATTCATATTGCTTTCAAGTACCAAATAACAATGGAGATTTAAAAAGAAATCATAAAGTCAATGTTTAATTATCTCCTCTCAATTTTTGAAATATAATTACCAAACAATATAACAGCGATTTGAATTTTTTTTACCAGAGTGTATACATACAAAGCGACCATGCGGTACATGAAAGCATTTTACGCGTGACCAGGTAATTGTTTCTGAAACATGCGAACTCAGATTATCAGGTAGCACAGGTAGCTGGCCTGTCAATCAAATCAGTAGACATTGTATTTTGAATGATTGACAGGCGGAATATTATTGATCTCGAATAAGGTAAATTTTGGGGGCGTTAACGTAAAATTGGGTGTTTAAGCACTGTTCTTGGACCCATTCTTTTCAGAACTACTAGCCCAATGGGACAGTGAAAGTTATTGACTGACCAGTAAAATAATGAGTTAATAGCCTGAGTGTCCAGTGAAAAAAAAATACTTCCATGTATTTCAAGCCCTGCAGATGGTCTTACTCTATAATGTACCCTGGTATATGGTCTTACTCTATAATGTACCCTGGTAGATGGTCTTACTCTATAATGTACCCTGGTAGATAGTCTTACTCTATAATGTACCCTGGTATATGGTCTTACTCTATAATGTACCCTGGTATATGGTCTTACTCTATAATGTACCCTGCTAGATGGTCTTACTCTATAATGTACCCTGGTAGATGGTCTTACTCTATAATGTACCCTGGTAGATGGTCTTACTCTATAATGTACCCTGCTAGATGGTCTTACTCTATAATGTACCCTGGTATATGGTCTTACTCTATAATGTACCCTGGTAGATGGTCTTTCCTCTTATGTAACCTGGTAAATGGTCTTACCCTGTAATGTACCCTGGTAAATGGTCTTTCCCTGTAATGTATCTTGGTAGGTGGTTTTACCCTGTAATGTACCCTGCTAGGTGGTCTAACTCTGTAATGTACCCTGGTAAACGGTCTTACCTTGTTATGTACCCTGGTAAACGGTCTTACCCTGTAATGTACCCTGGTAAACGGTCTTACCCTGTAATGTACCCTGGTAGGTTGTGAAGGGAGATCTGGCCAAAGGGACATCAACCAATAGGAAAGGTCTCTCCATGCCAACTTTCTGAGGAACTTGGGAGATTTCATGTGTCTGGCCTCCTCCAGTATGGCTCGGGGACTGATTTGGCCAAAATGAAGGTAAGGAGAAATCCTGCAGGTGTTCAGATGATCTGCACGACACGACTCCTTCTCATATTTTCTTACACCTAAAAACAGAAGACACAAAGTAACATAACAGATCATAATAAGGATGTACAGGCAACAATACATCTCTGTAGCATCTAATACATATTTCAGTATCAGCTTATGACAAATACATTAATAAACATCTGATGTATATTAATATACATGTATCAATATTTAATACTGCATATTACATAGCAATGTACCAATATGTTTCATCTACTGATGCTTATATATTGCTACAACCCTACAAGATTAAACTCTGCAACTTATGCAATTTAAGTTCAAGGAGTGCAACTTTTCAAAGATAATAGCATTTATTGACTAATCCTCAAGCTTTCATAAATATACCCTTGAAAGTATTTTAAAAAAGCCTGAATATTTACCTTCAGACAAGAAGACCTCCAATGCATTCCAAGCTCCATTCTCTCCAAAATCCCATTTTTCTACAATAGGTGCTGCCCAGTTTATCTAAAGAAATGAGAAGCACGGTTAAGAATGCATTTTCAAAAAATATGTAACTCTTTCTTCATCAAAAGTATACTGTACAATTTTTTTTTACACCTTAAAATCAGTCCAATTCAGGGTGTTTCCCTAAATAAATTCTGATCAATTTTTTTCCTAAAATTTTTTGAATATAATATACAAGCCAAATGTCAGATTTCAATCCCTTTTTTGGGGGGAAATTACTGCTATTAAGTCCCTTTTCTGTATGGATGTAAGTTCCCTTATTTTTACTAGAAACTTTGATTTTTCTGATGTCTACAGATGCTCTATAATTATATACATGTATTTAAAACAAATATAGTTCCTACAAGTCTATTGATTTCCAGGAATATGAGAAATCTAAACCTGCAGAATAAGACTTTACATATAGAATGACAACAGCACTATATTTATTAAAATGTGTTCAGAAATGAATCATACTGAGAAAGTAGCAAATTACAATTGTTCCATCTTTTCTCCATGGCATCTTTGCCAATCCTAAGTCAGACAGAGACACACTGGTTGGATACTGTTCAGGTCTTGGTAGAGTACCAGGAGCATCCAGTGGATGCCCTATAGGCTGTGTAGAGGACTGCCTACAACATTCCATAAAGTGAGTCACTGAACCAATTCCTCTCATCCCGAGGGACTCTGTAGACACTGAGCCTGGTTCATGTAACAAGTAGGAATGATAACGTTTACAGATGATTCCCCTTTTCTGTAGTTGTTCACAGATTTTGTCATCTCTCTGCTTGAGAAATGGCTCATAAATGTCATTAATAATAAATGTTTTGGCACCAGTTTCATCAATCAATTTCATTATTTCTTTCTGATATGAATCTGTTTTTCTGAATATTATTTTATTTTCATATTTGTCAGTTACTGATTTATCTAATTCCTTCAGAGCATGGTGTAGCCATAATTTTGTTGCACCCCCAGCAGCCACAACATTGTCTGGATCCTCTTCAGATTCTGACCAGAGGAAAACTAATATTACAGGTGAATTCATGCATGACGCTGCACATAATGCTGGATTGTCATATAGACGTAGGTCTCTTCTGAGCCAGTACAACACAGGTCTTTTCAGTTGCCTTTCAGAACTCTGACCATTTGCCCTGCCCTGCTTTTTCCTCTTTTTTGAAGATTGACTTGATGAAGTGTTGTTGGAAAGTTTTGGTATTTCTGCAGTTGGGATTTGTGCATTCTTCTCCTCACTTTTTGAGTCATAAACACTTGATCCAGTTGATTTGTCATACAGAAGACTGGCATATGAAGATTTGGGACTTTCTTTCTGCTCTATTGAAAGCGCAGATGCAAGCTCTACATCTAATTCATACCCAAAGTCACTAGTCAAATATCCATTCTCAACACTGCAACTTATGGGGTCCGTAAACGTGTCCGATGGAGGTTTTTCGAAGTAGTTTACATAAATGTTGCAAAGTTCATGGTACTTTTTTGTGTTTGTGAGCTGTAGAGCGTCAATGTACGCCAGAAAATGTTGTCTGATTGAATCGTATCCATCAAGTGAAACTATTAAGCAGAAACATTCTTCGGCAGAAGTTATCCCAGACGTAAAGTTTTGTAAGATTTCCTTCACACTTGTCGTCTCCATTGTCAAAATGAAAAGTTTACATAACTTGTATCGGAATCCCTCTAAATCTAAGGGTTAATCTGATCCCGATACAAATAATAATAATAATGAATCTAGATAACAATTCATAATCATGTAGCTGTTTATGATAGTCAAAATAATTAAATATTGATGAATAAAAGTGTGATAGTTTTTTAAAGTCTACAGATGTTATAAAAACTTCAGATCTTGAATGTATCAATCGGGTTCGATGTTCTTATTCTAAAAATTGTATATTCGTCAATTTCCGTAACATTCCGTTGAAAACTTCCTTTTTTCTTTTCTTTATTTTTAAAGACAGTTATATGTTATAAGTGATGATTGATACTAAAATGAGAATAAATATATAATAAATCTCAGTTTCAGCTCAAAAAGGATTGCTTCATCCAATCAAAAAACGCCAACTTTAGCTTAGTGACGTCATTGGGAAGTTCGACATTTCTTATCAAAACACAGTTGAACGTAGCAATCACGAAAGGTACTTTTTTAATAATTTAATTCTGTGTCAGAGGTAAATATTTATATATTTATTTGTAAAAAGAATCTTTGATATAATAAGCACTTGCAAAGTTTTGTAAGGAGAGTAAATTTACTGTAATATTGTATTGTTTACTTCCACACTTTTTCATAGGATATATCCACGACATGGATATAAATGTACCCGTAACTCTGGTGATTCGTGCTCCTAACCAGAGGGTGGAGGATCACACAGTTGAATGTATGTTAGGGTGGACAGTGAAGAAGTTAAAGAGACATTTAGAGGTTGTCTACCCCAGTAACCCTGTAAGTGTTAAGTAAGCAATTAATGGCTAAGGGTGATAATGATTAATAATGCTATATGTTGTTGATTGATTGGGTACAAATTGTATTATATCACAAGGACCAAGCTAGGGGGCGACTGAGGCGAAATAGTCGCTTTTGAGCTCCAAACTTCACCGTAAATTATCACGAAAGAGAAGTTTAAGTCACTTTAATATTGTCAACCCCTTTATTGAAAATCATAAAAATCTGTTAAGAAAACATGGTAGTATCATCACTGTTTTATAAATCTGGGTGTTATTACTGCTGAAATAAAGTGAAACAGCAGGACACTTGCACTTGTTCTACAGCAAATGACCACTGCATCGAATACTCTGTCGGAACTCCTCTAGAATTTACGCTTCCGGGTATGAAAAAGTCAATTGTTACAAGTTATACACAACAAGATGCTAGCCTGGTTCCCTGTTCCTGTTTTGCTTTGTATACTCCGTGTCACAAGGGCCAGGTGGACTACAATGGATTCAGGGTGAATCTGCCCTGAATCTGAGCTCATTGTGACGTCATATTTAGCTGCGCTTCCGGTGTAGAAGTTCATTGTGATGTCTATTTTTCTACGCCGTCAATGCGATATATCATTGCGATGTCAATATTTATTTATGTGGTTAACGGCAATGGCTCAAAAATCCAACGATTTAGCACAAATTGTTCAGACCAATCAGGTGACAGCATCGATTTTAATCCACCTGGCTCTCCTGCCTTGGCAAGGATGAGCCAGGGGACCAGGCTAAACAAGATGCAAAACAGCTGGGCAGCTATCGATGTCATGCCAAAGATGTTGGAGATGATTTTAGATCTTTTTATTGTCAAATGATTACCGTAAATCGTGTTGTGATTTTTACTGTTAAATTATAGAGTTATTAACTGTCTAAGTCTGAGATTACATATTTATGATAAACATAAGTCCGTCAATCGGCTGCAGTAGTGCATCAAAACCTAGTTTGTTTTTGTTTTGTTTTTTATACCCCCCGCAAACGAAGTTTAGGGGGGGTATATTGGAATCACCATGTCCGTCTGTCTGTCCGTCTGTCTGTCCGTCTGTCCGTCTGTCTGTAGACAAGATTTTGTCCTGAGCATTTCTCGGAAACTATTGCATAGATTTGTCTGAAAATTTGTACACTTATTATTCACCATATGAAGGTGTGCACCTGGTATTTTCATCATGATTGATTAATTTTTCTGCATTTTACAGGTGTTTTTTTCATTTTTATTATGTGTTTTGTACTTCCTTTACTCAAAGACTATTTCATAGAATTGTATGAAAATTTGTACACTCATTATTTACCATATGAAGATGTGCACCTGGTATTTTCAACATTATTTGATAATTTTTCTGCATTTTACAGGGTTTTTTTTTTCATTTTTATTGACTTAGTCATTTTGGGTTTATTTCTAAGGTTTGAGACACAGAATCTAGAACATCTGTACAAAAATGTGAACTACAGCTTAAAACTATTCATTAAAACAAAAACAAAAAAAAAATCACCAAGTATTAAAAACAATTTTTACATTACACAGCAGATAGTGTAAATCCATTTGTCCCTTGGGAGTAATGAGTGGACATCATCCAGTTAGAGATAAATTAATGAGTTCAGTGTGGGAAGTTGTTAGGGCCTCTCTGATCAAGCATGTGTTATCTATATCTCCTGGGAATTTCAAGATCTCTGTTCTTTAATTCTCTTAATTGTAATTTATTGTCTGTCATAGTCCATAGTTACTGGATGACCAGCCTTTCATTTTTAAAATGAATTTGATATAAAGTTATCAAGATTAATTTGATTCTGTAATTAATTGATTTTTTTTCAACAATCAATGCAGAATGTCATGTCTCAAAAAGATGACAGATAGTTGCAATTTATTTTTTCAATATATTAAAAAACAATGTAACTACAATGTATTGGTATTGATGTTTTATTAGGTTGTTCCTTGGTTTCATGCATTAAAAAAATAAAATGAGCAATTATTTTTTCACTCTAAATGTTAATAAGAAAACACCTCTTAGATCCATAAAATATTAGTGATTTAGCACCTCTGAAAAACCCAGCGGGGGGTATTTGTCCCTTTTGGACAGTTCTAGTTTAAATTATTTTTTAAAGAATTTAATACTGAAAACAAACTTTGAAAGAGAAAATAACAAAATTATGACTATGCTAAGGACCAGAAAATATAAAATACGATGAGAAGAGAGAAAAATATGTGAATCATTAAAGTTAACAGTTAATTGTGCATATTATAAGATATACCTTTGAACTTTATCAATTAGAAACTTTTAGATTGTCACTGAATTATTTTTTTTCTGCTAGATATTTATCATGGTTTATATACCTTGTAATTGGGAAAATATCAAGCAATTATTTCTTCTAAAAGAATTTTTTGTCTCTTTTTTAAGTATTCTTACTAGGATGTTTTATTAATACAGTGAAATTATTGAAATGTATTTAAAGTATAAACATTGACATGTTTTAATTTATTTTTTTAAATTTTAATAATGATCAATGTGCACCACACGCACCAAGAAATCTCCCTAGAATTTTAAACTTCTCCCTAAATTTCTCTGAGGGAGAAGTGAAGTCTCCCTAAATTTTGGATCTAGGTTGGTCCCTGATATCATGCAAAATTTACTCTTTGATTGTAGTAAAATGATAACCACTGGATGATGCAATGACAGGCTGGAGTCAAAAAGTGCATTTAACTGACTGTTAACTATTTTAAATAATTAAAAAGGAAAAAAGAAAAATGACCCAAAATTAATACCATTAATCTATTTTATATGTTTCTAACTTTCAGAAAGAAACACAGCAAAGGCTAATATACTCTGGAAAGTTGTTAGCAGATGAGATGACATTGAAAGAAATAATCATCCAGGTATGAAATAATTCAATGGAAAACATGTAATATTTGTGTTATTAGCTTACTCAAGCTAATTGCTTCAACCTTTTTTGATGAAAGTAACTGGAGTGTATCTTTATCATGTGTTCATTACATTGTTGGCATTTTCAACCTCTGCTCCGGAAGCAGTTGATCAGTTTTGTACATGTATTAATTCAAGTAAAGGGCTATGCATCGTGGGGCTATCATTAAAAAAAATTTTTTAAAAATTTGATTCATGTACTCCAACCTACATTTTTCAAGTTGGTAATCATAATAAAAATCCCAGAAATTAATTGATTTTTTCATTATACATACCACAGCTAGACAGATTTAAAAAAAACATCCAATCTAAATTTGTCTTAGAGAAATGATGAAACTTTTAAAATGATGCATACAATCAATCTGTATCTCCCTGTAAACAAAAACAAATTAAAAAAAAGTATTAGCCTGGTCTAGTACATCTTTTAGAAGGACAAAGTAGGTGATAGGGATGGGTATCCGCAAAAATTTCGTATCGTGATATACCAGTATACCTATAAAATCGCGCATTCCTAGTAGGTGAATACATTCATAATCATTCAAAGTGTGACTCCCAGCGGGGCTAGGTAGAGACAACAGTATTGAGTAAAGAATTAAGTTTTACTTAAGAATATATTTTAAAAAACTTTAAAAGTTATCATTAAATCACATGAACTGAAAGCTCAAGTGAGCTTTTCTGATCACATTTTGTCTGGCGTCCGTCTTTCTGTAATCTTTCACCTGTTCACATTTTCGACTTCTTCTCAAGAACCACTGGGCCAATTTCAACCAAACTTGCCACAAAGTATCTTTGGGTGAAGGGGATTCAAGTTTGTTCAAATGAAGGGCAATACAGTCTTTCAAGCGGAGATAATCGAGAATTAGAATTGGTGAGTACTTGGTGGCATTTTTGAGAAATCTTCTTCTCAAGAACCAGTGGGCCAGAAAAGTTGAAACTTGTATGAAACCTTCATTACATAATGTAGATTGAAATTTGTTCAAATCATGACCCCCCATGGTAGGATGGGGCCACAGTGGAGGATCAAAGCATAACATAGGAATATATAGGAAACAATCTTTAAAAATGTTCTTTTCAAGAACAAGAAAGCCATGATTAGTCATATTGATATGGAAGCATCCTCAGGTAGTATAGATTCATGTTTATATTCATGGGCCAGAAAAGTTGAAACTTGTACGAAACCTTCATTACATAATGTAGATTCAAATTTGTTCAAATCTTGCCCCCTCATGGTAGGATGGGACCACAGTGGGGGATCAAAGTATAACATAGGAATATATAGGAAACAATCTTTAAAAATGTTCTTTTCAAGAACAAGAAAGCCATGATTAGTCATATTGATATGGAAGCATCCTCAGGTAGTATAGATTCATGTTTGTTCAAATCATGATGCCCAGAGGTAGGGTGTATCCAAAATGGGGGATCAATGTTGTACATAGGAATATATAGGAAAAAACCTTTGAAGATTTTCTTCTCAAGGACAGCACAGCCATGAATAGTTATATTGATATGAAACATCCTCAGGAAGTGTAGATTTAAGTTAGTTCGAATCATGACATACAGGGGTAGGGAGGGGCCACAATGGGAGATAAAAATTTTACAAAGGAATATATAGGAACAAATCTTTAAAAAACTTCTCAAGAACAGCAAAACCATATTTGTATGAAAGCATCCTCAGGTAGTGCAGATTCAAAATTGTTCAAATCATAACACCAAGGGGTAGACTGGGGTCACAACAGGGAAACAAAGTTTAACATATATATATATAGATAAAAAATCTGATGATGAAGAGTAACAGGGCCATATTTGACTCAGGTGAGCATTGTGGTCCATGGGTCTCTTGTTTTAAGAACAGCATGGTGAAAATTAGGGGCAACCTGGGGTCTTAACAGAGACTTACCATACTACATGTGAATATTTGGCTTTGTTAAGAAAAGTGGTGACAGGGCTTAATTTGAAAAAAAAAAATATTAAGCATCAATGTACAGAAGATTAAGTGCTATAATTAAAGTAATTAGTATATGGTTAAAATAAAATACATTCACTTTTAGAGAGAGAAATGTGAGCCTTATTGTTAACAATTAAGGGTGAAATGTTTACTGAATTTTGGAAACGTTTAAACGACCAGCAGTAAACGAAACGTTACCGTTTAAATGGAAGAATATTTTGTGTTGAATTTTTATGGTTACTTACTCATGAAACACTAATTTAATACACTGAACTCTATTCTTTTACTATAATGTAAGTATGAGTTGTTATAACTATTTATTTGTTGGTTTTTATGACGAAAGAATATGAAGCGCATAAAACTCATCCACTTTCTACGACGTCACCCAATATTGCATTACTGTTTTGTTTGGCTACATACCGGGCTTAGAATAAGCATTGTCAAATTAAACTTGCAAAGATGGATCTTTTAATCCTGAATTAAGTATACTGCGATCTGCTGACTGTATGGAAACACTTTGCAAAGACTGGTGAAAACATATGATATTAATTTATTCAAAGTAAATCAAGTTTTATACTTGGAAAAATAAAATTAAATCATAATACATCGTTAGTATTCGCTACTCGAAAATCGAAATTAAATATATCATAGACGGTATCGGTTTTTAAATAGTTTTGTTTAATAACATGTTTCCGATATCGATTAAAACAGAAAACAATTGCTTTCTTTGGTAAATATGAAATAAAACAACTTGTTTGTATTTGTCTTTACTTCTGATAGACATTGATAATGACCTTCGTGTAAACGTTTACTCTATCTGTAAATGTTTAGAGCATTTCATCGAAACTTCGCCGTTTACATGTGTAATCGTTTCACCCTTATTAACAATCCCCTTGTTTTATTTCAAGTATATGCATATTAGGGATGCGCAATTTTATTGGTATACCGGTATATCGTGATTTTTTATTGCGTGATACATATCGTGATACGGAGACTAAAATACCTGTATTTGGTACATAATTAAAAATTCCGGAAATTATTCATCTATTTCTTTAAACTATTAAATAAAAATTACAGGAAGTCTAAAAAATGTTGAAAAAAGTTAAACTACAGCATCTAAGCATGCTTTATATTATATAAATAAAAATAAAAAAAAGTGAAGTTATGTTTTTACAGCTTATTTGTAAGAAAAAATATAGAAATTCATTAGATATTGTAGTAAAAATTCCGTGTAAAAATATCACGATATTATCGTGATATTTTGGAGAAAAAATCGTGATATATCACGTTACGAAATTTTTGGCGATTCCCATCCCTAATATATATTTTGCAGTAAAAGGAATATTATTCATAACGAAGGTGGATATATATATCTTTAAGCATTTTTATTCTTGCAGAATGAAGACAAAGTTCACCATACAGTACATTTAGTTTGCTCCCCATCCGTGGAAAGTTCTAATAATGAATCTCCTAAACCTCATGTAAGATTCACTTTAACACTTATATAATTCATTTTACAAAATAATTTCCAGTTGATTAATTTTATCGACTTTGATATATATATGTATACTCTTTCATATAAAGGAAAAAACAGTTAGCAGCACCATTTCCTCCTCATACACATCAAGAAACACGCATAACTCTGAAGGACTACGTCACCGAATACATCATAGTCAGGGTAGCCAGCCAACAAGCATTACTAGGTATAGAGAATTTGTGTTATTCCTTAGGTTCATTATTGTTTTCTCTTTTAAAATGTTAATTAATTAAGGGTCTTGCATGTACTGCTTTTGTTCAAAATTAGATGTTTATTATTTTGCAGAGTAGAAATGTCATTGATGTATTGATAGATGCAGTATTGATGTAAATTTTAGGAAAAAGTAATCAATATATTTTTGAGAATCTGTACATTAAGGAAGTTTAAAGTATAAGAAAAAATTAGAAATTCAGCTGTTTATTAAATAATGTTCACAGACAGGAGCAAGTTTTTCTCACATGTACACTATCTCATGAAAGGAGTTTGTAAATATTCATGAATGTCACTCATAAATAACTTTTAGTACTGGAAATTCCTGCAGTTTAAACTCCCGTTACTTGGTATAAATTTTAAATTTGATAAACTATGCTCTAAACAGTGCTGTCATAATTTTGAGATTTCTATTGATTGTTTACTGTCAATTGGACATTTACGGTTGGGTGAACAGTTATGGACTACAGATCTTCAGTATAGAGCGCATTATGCACTAAGAATTTTTGTTCACGGTTTCTCGTCATATACCACATTCATAAGTAATAACATAATCATAAGAAAAATCTTTAAAAAAATTACTGTATTTTATTCATGGACATCTGTTTTACAGACTAATCCTGGATAATCCATGCACTATGTGAATCATAATATTTTTCTATTTAAAAAATTAGGGTTGGGATGATATATCGATAATATCGATTCTGTGTGAGGACAAAATATGCAATTAAACAATTTGGAAAGCATCTATTTTCTTATTAAATTGGAATAATTACATTATTTTCAAGGGTCATTATTCGGAAATACTGTGGTTCATATATATCATTTAGCAGTATGAAGATTATCATACAGTTTTAGCATTTGATATTTTGCACAAATGTAGTTACATGATACTCAAATGCAATACTTTTTTTGTTTTGAACCATAAATTGCTGTATCTAATGTCTGGTTGATAAGATTATATCAGTTTTATTTGTATTAGTTTTTTCATTTTTACACTTCAAGGATTCCACAGTTACTTTATCCATAGTTGCTAGTAGGAAGTTCACTCAACCAAAAATGTCCACTTGCAGTACTCTCCGAATGTGTGTTTCTTGCAGAGATTAAATACCTGTACTCAAAACTTGTTTTTTAAATGTTATTAGCACTTCCAACACATCACCCATGCAGTCCCCTCCCACAATGACGCCTAATGCTGTGACCCCGGAACAGTACATGATGATGCCCAATACTCCTGGTCTTGCTGTCACCCCAGAGCAGTACATGATGATGATGCAAAATTACTATTACCAAATGACTACACAGTACATGCAATAGTAAGTAGATTGTTCATTAGATACCAAAAAAATTGCATTCATTATAAATTAGATTTTCCGATATCTGAATTATTATCGGCCACAGCAGAGGTTGATCTGTTTGTAGTTGTGTTGGAATGTGCACAAGGGGAAATAAAACGTTATTTTTTATGCCCCGCCATGAATATGGCCAGAGCATATAGTGTTTGTCATGTCCGTCTTCCGTCTGTCCTTCCGTCACACTTTGTGTTTAGCTCTGTTCAAAGCTCAGTTTCAAAGAAACTATCCAAGATATTTTTATCAAACTTCATATCCTGATAGATATTGATGAGAACTATGCAACTGCATCAACAATTTTTGACCTTGACCTTTCATTTGACCTTGACCTCACTTTTCTGAAATTAGTGTTTAGCTCAATTTTAAAGATACCATTCAAGGTAGTGTAATCAAACTTCATATGTTGATACATACTGATGTAAGCTATTCAACTGCATCAACATTTTTTGTCCTTGACCTTTCATTTGACCTTGACCTCACTTTTCTTAAATTAGTGTTTAGCTCAGTTTTAAAGATACCATTCAAGGTAGTGTAATCAAACTTCATATGACGATACATACTGATGTAAGCTATTCATCTGCATCAACATTTTTTGACCTTGACCATTCCTTTGACCTTGACCTCACTTTTCTTAAATTAGTGTTTAGCTCAGTTTTAATGAAATCATTCAAGATATTTTTATCAAACTTCATATGCTGATACATAATGATGAGAGCTTTTCAACTGCATCAATATTTTTTGACCTTGACATTTTCTTTGACCTTGACCTCACTTTTCTTAAATAAGTGTTTAGCTCAATTTTAAAGATACCATTCAATACAGTATTATCAAACTTCATATTTTGATACATACTGATGTAAGCTATTCAACTGCATCAACATTTTTTGACCTTGACCATTCCTTTGACCTTGACCTCACTTTTCTTAGATTTGCATTTTGCTTAATTTTAAAGAAACCATTTAAGATATACTTATGTAAGTTTATGCACTTATACATAATTTGTTGAGAATTTATCATGTATATATCAAACTTTTTAGATTTCAATTTCAATTTTAAAGGAACTTTTCAAGATATTCTCATCAAACTTCATACACTAATACAAATTTTCATGTTGCATTACTTATATACCCTCGGCAGGGCATTCATGTCCTATGGACATATTTTTAGTTCAATGTTGCGATAGAATAATTCCTTACTGAAAATATACATAAACGATATAAATAAAAGTTTAAAAATTTGTTAATACTAAGTCTAAATGATTGTTTTAACGTTTCAGTTTGTTTTTCATTTCTCGTCAGATATGTATTAATTTATGATTTTATAAAAAGTCGTTACATCAAGTGCTTCCCAACATGCGCTAGCGCGCTTCATGAAATATGCCTATGTGACTAGTCTGTGTGATAAAGTCTTAAATAAATGTTATCAAATTTTTTCTCTCATGAATATTTTTGGTGGTACAACAGGGTTCGACATTCACACTCGTCACCTCGTCATTTCCATCCCGGGATGATTTTTGACGACCTGATTTTCAGTCTGGCTCGCCCAAATGACGACCTGGGACGAGTTGGGAATATTCAATAATGATGTTTAATATTTTAAAATAAACTTTATAGAGCCTTGAAAACATTGTTTCCTGTAACCCGACCGAACATTCAAATAGCAGCCTTGTGGATTTTTCTTTCTGCCAAATCTGTGTTTGATCAATCAGCTGATGTAATTTTTACCAGAAGTATTAAATTAAGTTTTATTTGAGATATAAAATATGTCAACCTAGTCAACAAATACCATAAATATAAAGAGTAATGATCATTATTGTAACATCTAGAATTTCCCCCAACAACTTTCTGCTGCTAGACAGCCATGTTGGGTGTCCACTGTAAACATCACACCTGGTTAATTCAGTCCAGGGATGTTTGACCCCATTTTTTTTTTAGGCCTTTATGGTAAGTAAAAAATGAATGTTTTAAACTAGAAACTTTATTTTGTTTCAATATGTGAGGTGAGGTTGTACATTAGCAAAAAAAAAAAAAAAAAAAATCCCGACCTACCAACCCTTTATTTATTGGGAATATTACAGGAAACAAACATAATCTTTTAAAGCCTAATTAGCATTCTGATTCTGCTTATAATATTTGTTGCTCGTTTTCTTTGTTTGATAAAATCCTGGAAGACAGCTTTTGACATTCCAAAAATGTCTGGTTAACATTTTTTAATACAAGAGCACAACTTCTGTTATCTTAACAAATTTTAAACCATTGTACATTTTTGTTTCATTTGATAGTTTGTTCGGGCGACCTGAAATTCATTCGGGCGACCTGAAATCAGTACCAAGGTTGCCCAAATGGCGAGACCAAATTTTAACGAGTGTCGAACCCTGGTACAATCCTGATTTCAGCGGGCTAAAAGTACCGGGTAGTGGCAGATTTTGAGAGGCCTGGGCAACTTGCACAATCTGGCATGAAATCTTACACAGAAAGTGAAAATAATAGCCAAAGCATGTTTAGGGCATGAAAAAAAGGGAGAGGACAGCACTGCATTAGTTCATATTAATATCTACTTTTTAAAAGACATTTTCTTTTTTAAAATTATGACCAACAAACATTGATTTGGTCTTGAAAATGCGAGATTTGCAAACCAAAAAGACTGTCAAAATTTTTCAAGTTTTTAAAACTTGGCTTTTACAAATTTCTAACATTTAACAAATTACTTGCAGCTATCAGACAGGAACATATCAACCTGTTACACCCCAAGTTTTAACAGAACAAGAGAATGAGGCCCCCCAACAAAACAATCAGGAAGGCCCTGCTGCCAGACAGGACAATGTTAACCAGGTGATGAATGCACAAGGAGGCCTAGAAGATGATGATGACGATGAGTTTTTCGGTCCCAGAGACTGGCTAGATTATGTGTACACATTCAGTCGTTTCATGGTCCTTATCAGCATTGTATATTTCTACTCAAACTTCACCAGATTTCTGGCTGTTGCTGCTTTTTTCTTTTTGGTTTATCTGTAAGTATTCTTTCATTTTCAAGTAACTGATTAAATTTTTTAACATTTATGAGGGAGAGTTTGATTTTGTCTTGTTTGCCTCTCTATCTGTTGGAAAAATAACACATAAATAATAAAAAAAATCTTATCAAAGGTACATGAAGACATAAAGACGGACAAAGGCAGTCCCACCTGTCACGAATCTATTTTTGTTGCAGAGAGAACACTGATTGAGAGGCTGTGCTACAATCATTTATTTTTCTATATTCTTATATAAATTTACTCTACATATGTTTACAGAAAACACATATTTATTTAACTGCATTAAGAAAATCACCGTTCCAGTTTTGGAATATTAAAACCAATATATAGTTGTGTTGAGTTATGTTCTGAACATTTATGGCAGATGTAGATATACAGTAGTGAGGATACTGTAGATCACAAAATTTATTGCCACACCTTATATTTGCAGAATATATAAGCGAGACAAAATTTTAATGAAGTTTGGTTATTGTTTTAAATAATCTTAAATAACAGAAATATACACGAGAACGTAGTTTTTGCAGGCACACTTCACATTTAATTAGGTGAAAATAAAGTTCTCACTACAGTATTTTGTAAAGGCCATCATTCCTGGGAGCGTTTTAGTTTTGTCACATGATTTCTGTCTTCTTCAGATATCAGACGGGATGGTTTGCTGTTCGTCGTAGAAATCGAGAACAAGAGAATGAAAATGAGGCTGAACAGGAACAGCCACAACAAACGGAAAACATTCCTAGGGATCCAGGGGCTGATGAAAATCCAGTGCGGGAGGTAGGCATGATTTAAATTAAAACTTAACATGAATAATTTAAGAAAAACCACTCAGATATGTTGTCATTTGCTTTGTAATGTTGAATTTTTTAGGGGAGTGATACATCACACTCAGATAGGACTACTACAGAGGCAGCAGACCCCCCTCCCCCTGGGGCTTTGACAGTGGCCTGGAGTTTTGTGTCAACCTTCTTCAGCTCATTAATACCAGAGCCTCCTGCTCCAGTTAATGCTAATTAATGTCTCAATGCCAAATACTAACAGAAATCCAATTACACTTGTGTCATTCATTCGTGGTCTGTGATGGTTTTTATACATGGGCATAATTATTCCCATAAAATATTTCAGTATCTTTACTTTCTAAATATTTTAGAGACATGCTCATTGTGGTACTGGTAATTTGCTCTCTTTCATTTCTTCAATGTCAGATTTGAAAAGTCAGCTAAAACCTGTATCTGATGTGATTACCTGAAATCCAATATATATACATACATCTTATTTCAAGAAGAATTTAACTACTTTTACAATTTATAAATGTACGTTTGTTTTGTTGTGACTGCCAAATTTTGTGTTGATTTTGTTCATAACTGCAATTGTTTTTATTTTGTTTGTTAATTTTTGTTTACATTTCATGCTACAAAACAGAATAAATTATGTGGTATATACTTTTTTAATCAGATGAACAACTTATTTAATTGTGGGTGGTGGCTTCTGTGCCATAAGTGCAAAATACTGAAAAGTATCATGTTATTAATATTATACATGTATATAGTTTGCATTTTTATGAAACATTAACACTTGTTGATAAAATTGTACATATGTCAGAAGGAAAGTAAATATTTTAACCTGTAAATATGCCAGTCATGCTTTACTTGGGATTACAGAGTGAATAGTATTCTCACATGTACATGTAATCTACTTGTTAGTTCATCAAGTCATAAATGTACAGACACAAATACATGTATGTAGCTGTGTATATAGACAGGTGCTAAATCCCCATAATTTTTTTCTCATAGAGAGAGATAGGGTATGTTTGTGGGAGGGGGTTGGGGGAGTGAAAGAATGAGTACTATCAAGAGTAAGTGTGTGGTATTTGTAACTATTATTTGTTTTAACTTTAAGAATAGACAAAAAAATGATATTTCCTTTTTAACTTACCCGGTAATTTCATGCAGTGTTTAACACAATTATGAAGAAAACAAAACTCAGATTTGTAATTTCAGAAAATTCAATGAATGTCACAGAAAAACTTTTGTCTCCATTTTGGCATAATATGAATTTATATTTTTGTTACTGTACTCCAAGCTTTAGGAGACTCAATAATGTCTAAGTTTATGATCATTTTGTGAAATCCTTTGTCTTACAATCACTATCAACAATCATTGTTGGCTATTTTACTTGTTAAGATGGTATTAAAACCTGGGAGCGCTTTGCTTGCATGGTAAATAAAATATCACGAATCAGTTCTTGTTGTGTAATTTTTTATTTCATTATTTGTAAAAATTTTATTTAAATTTCAGGTAGTTGAATGAAGCTATATAATCCTTTTTCAGACACTTATTAAAGCTCCCTGTACCATAATTTGTGCAGTATTGATTTGAAATAACATCCATACATTTTATTAACATAGTTACTTTCTCACTCTAAAGATATTGAAATACAAATGAACATCTGGCAAAACAAAATACTACATAGATGTTTGAAACATTTAAGACGTTTGGTTTTCCTCGGTTGTTGTTTGTTCTGTAGTATCCTCTGCCTCTTTCGATTTCTCTTCGTCCACTGGAGCGTACTTTTTAAACCAAGTGTCGAACTGAATGTTTGATAAGGGCACGCGTTCTGGCATTTTGGAGAGCATTTTAACGATGAGAATTCGGCAGTCCTCGGAAACTTCCGGTTTGGCGGGAAAAACGACTTTCTGTAGGACCTGTTTCAGGAGTTTCTTATGATTGGAATCATCAAATGGTAGCCTCCCGTAGAGCATTGTAAATAAAACGACTCCCATACTCCACACATCAGCGAAAAAAGGGTCGTATGGCGTTCCCTTCAAAATCTCTGGCGGTGCATACGCATAGCTTCCGCAGTATGTTTCACTTGGTTTGAAATCACCATTTTTAGTTTTCTGTATTTTTTTGGCAAATCCAAAGTCAGTGACCTTAAGATGAAAATGCTTATCCAATAAAACATTCTCGCATTTCAAATCGCGATGGACCACACCTTTTGAGTGCATGTATAACATCCCATCGTGGAACTGACGAAACCAAAGTCCACACTGAGACTCTGGAATCGTCTTCTTGCTTCTGATATAATCTAAGAGATCAATGTGTCCCAACTCCATAATCAGAAAGAAGCGTGTGGTTGTTTCAATGACTTGGTAGAATGAAATGAGACAAGGATGCTTAAGAATTTTTATCACTTCAATTTCCCGTGGCAAAAATTTAAGAAGGAAATCGTTCGGAGCTTTTCTTTTAGAAATTATTTTAACGGCAACTTTGTGTTTTCTGTTTACATCGTAGGCAGACCTGACACATGCGTAAGAACCCTGACCGAGAGTTTTCCCCACAATGAAACCCTGGCTTTCTAAAACCTGCAATATAGTATAGAAAAGGTATTTAGATAAGTAATACATTAAACTTTTAAATTGGAAATGGATATTTGGAAGGTTGGGGGGGGGGGGGGGTAGACGAAGTCTGCTATATTTACAGTATATTAACGATGCATTCTACTGGATGAGACTTTTTGCATGTTTGCATATTTTTTTTTTAACTGTGCTCTTCTAACATTAAATCTGTAAATTGCATTCTTCCTCTCCGGCATTTGACTAGTCATCAGTTGTTTGTAAAAATTCTTGAATGCCTAATTGGTGGTCATATGTAAAATTACAATAACAATCGTCACCTGAAATCGTTTTGCAGCCTTGCTTTTGGTTGTGGTTGTGGAGGCTGCATCCTCGTTTCCATCATTCCCTACGGATTCATTATCTTCTTTATCGTCTTCATTTACCATTATTTTGGAGTAGTTACATTATTACGCAAAACTAAGAAAGCCTACGGTTCACTACCGAGATGTATCATTGTGACGTTTATGATGAAATTTGTGACGTCACAATTAAGTTGACTGTGATGGACAACTATTATTGTGACATCATTTTTTAAAAATGTGCTTTTTGCGTCAAAACGATAAATATTTGAGTAAAATTATTATTGAGCACATCTGCGTAATTAAAATTCAAAAAGAGTATAACATTAGCAGGCATACAAAAGGATTTACACACATGCAATCAGAAACTGTAAAATAACTTTTATTCGCATGTGAAAAATGCAGGCGACTTTCGCGACCTTCTTTTACTCGCGAATATTTCACACCGGGGTTTATTTATTTCATTTTGTTTTTATGTGCATTGTAATGTTGATGTTACTATAACGGGTACATACTCCTCTATTCATTTGTCATTACCAACGAACATAAAACTACCTTTTCAATGAATGAATATTGAGGAAACTACATTGATTGAAATAAATACTAGAAAGCATATCAATATCAGTGGTGCACAAATATTTAATTAAATTTTTTTTACAGATATATATGTATATCTATGTATATATTATTTATGAATGCATGTAACCTTTTTTGTTTCTCCTCCTCCAATTCTTTCTCTCTCTCTCTAAAATAATAAAAACTACACCTTCTGTATATTCTTTTAAACATATGTTGAATTAAATAACAGAATGTGTAAAACAAAAACAAAGAATTATATAAAAAAAATTTTTATAAATATAACAAAAGTTATACCTGTATGTTTACATTGTGAAAGAAATTCTTTATTGTATTGAAATAACTACTAGAAAGCATGTCAATATCAATATCAGTGGTGCACAGATATTTAAAAAAAAACTTTTAAAAATATCTATATTTATAAATATGGCAAAAGTTGACTAAATTTTAGTCCTGATACAATACTAAGTATGTCTAAGCTGTGGAAGAAATTCTTTACTGTAATACATACAGAGTCTCGTGCAGTTAAATGTTATGATTTATAGTTACATATAAATGAATTTTTAGGTAGCTAGAGTAGTTTACACATGCATGTTCTCTTCATCTCCTCGATCAATTCGACTTCATTTACTTTTCATAAATTATTTTTATGACACATATTTACGGGGGGGGGGGGGGGGGGGGAAACGTCAGAAAATAGAATCTGAAGCAATCCTTTTTTTGCAAATCTTAATGACAAGTGACACCGAAACACAAATGGCCGTAGGAACCGGGGGCACGGGGTGGGTGGGGGGGGGCGTGCCCCCCCCCCCCCCCCCAGTTCCCAATTAATAATTTTGCCGATATATAGAAGACATAGCTAAGGCTTACAAGTGCCCCCTTAATAATAACGTCTGATGACCTTTTTTTTTTTTTTTTGCGTGTCAAGGAATTATTGGTAGCTGATAGTGCCCCCAAATAAAAATGTATGGTTGTGCCCCCCCCCCCCCCCCAACTGAAATTGCTTCCTTCGGGCCTGACACATTTTAAAAACTTTACCACTGCCCTTCTAATTTCTTGAACAGATTCAAATTTCAGTCCTCGCAAGGTTGTCTTAGGAAGAAGCGAATATATGTTCATATTCTGAATTTTACAATCTTTGGTCTACCAATTTTTGGCGCTGAGGTAAAACTATCTCTGAATTTTATATCATTTTTTCTATATACAATTGCTCTACTAACGTTTTAGTACATGCATGTTATTCATGTCATTTCCATATCTTTTTCCCCTCTGAAGAGGACATACCATATTCAACAGAGTATTTTATAACATCCCTGTGCACAGGCAATGCGTTTGACGACGCCATTTGCGGCAAACTCAATCCAGAGTGTGCTTTGAAAATTACGTCATCACTCTTCTGCCTCTGATGTCATTAACGTAAAGATTTAATATAACATGCTGATTTTTTTCCTGATTCGATTGATATTAATTTGAATTTTAATTAACAAAGAAACAAATACAATTGCGATAGAAAGAATTACCTAACAATTTATTCTGGACTAGAGCTTGTGGCGACAGACCATCAGCATTCTTATAAATATTTTTATTACTAGTAAAGATTTTTACTTCAGAATTGATTATTTTTAGAAACATGTAATAAATGATAGTCATGCAAAATTTGGTTGAATAATATATTAATTGTATTGTGTAGAAACTAGGGTTTGTGTACAGCGTCTTGTATGTGGTTTTTACAGGCAGGACACGTGTAACGTCCATGCATGTCATTTGCATCAACGGAAGCAAATGTGACTCTTGCAGCTAATTTTCAAAAGTATGCAATTTGTGTCACTTTAGATTTAATTGACAGACAGAATTAAAATTTCAAATATTTATTAAACTGATTTATTGACAGTATTTTTAATCTGTAATTTTAAGTCACTTTTCACAAGGATTAGCTCTTTATATTTGTGCAGACTTTCATAAGCTTTCTCACGAAATCCCGGACAAGTGTGGGATTATCAAGACTTCCGAAATCAGCAATACTTTGAACATGGCTAGAATCTGTCGCAATGTCAAGATTAATCTGTCTGTTGAATTCTTTCGAAATACCTATTACAAAAATGTCAACGCTCTGATTTTTGAGTTTTTCAGCTTCCAGACTGGCATGAGAAGGCAAAATCGGAGTGCCATCGGTCAAGAGGACTAACACGTTTGGATGCCCGGTTCGGTCACCATTAGTGCCGTTAAATAGATTTTCCCTTACGAATCGAAGGCCGCGTGATGTCAGGGTAAGGCCTGGGTGGTTAAACGATATATTCTGAACAGCTTCATACAGGTAGAGTTGTTGAGGGTAGGTATCGAGATAGAACTCCAACTGAGGTGTGGTTGAGTAAGTCACCACCCCAACTTGATCGGTATGTGGATCAATATTCAGGAATTGGATGATCTTAAAGATGAAGTCCTTTAACATTTGAAAATGGTCAGTCCCAACACTACCGGACTCATCCACAAGAAACACCAAGTCCAAACCACAGACTGTCATAAAAGAAAAGATAAAATTCAGGCCCGTAGAAAGCAGGGGGAGGCCCCCCCCCCCCACTTTTCTGAGTGTATTATTTTGCTATTGTAAATTTTCCTTTATATGCTGGTTGCCCCCTTTTTGCTGCAGTAAGGTCGAGTACTGGACTGGATAATTCCAGGATTTGGATAGTTAAAGACCCCCTTTTTTGCTTGTCAGTTTATTTTGGGAAGTTGGCCCCCTCACTTTTTTGGTCAGTTAAGGTTTTTTTCTTTTCTTTTTCTTTCTTTCTTTTTTTTTTTTGGTTGTCAGATTTTTTTTTAAAGAGGTTCACCCTCCTCCTTTTGAAACCGTTGCTACGGGCCTGAATTTGGTTTGAAAGGAAAACAAAAACGGAATAAAATGTATGATACAATGATTATAAGGAAATATAAAAGTGTCCCGGAGACTTGGCAATTAAAAGGCTTTTCTAAAACTGAAGCAGAAAATCGAGGAAAAATTGCATGTATACGACAGTCACGTTTTGATAAAAATATTCAACTGAATTTTTTCCAGATAAGTTAAAATATCAGCATTTCCACAAGAAATTATCGTTTATTAAAAAGTACAATTATACCTTCATAGTTAGGACAAAGTGTTGAACCATTGGAAAGCGACTGCAAATTGGCAATATTCGAAGACATGGCTTTAAAACAAAACATATGCAACAATAATCATATACATGTACAGTATCAAATGAAAACATTATTCGGTATCTACATGAATTATTCGTATGGATGTTATTTTTACCCAATGCCGTTCGCTGACACTGATCTAAATCACTGTTGCGAATGTTTAACTCCTTTCTAGTGCCATTCAACTGTGTCTCTAGAAGCTGATTTCTCTCGCGAGAAACGTTTAGTGCTGCTTCTGTCTGATCGTTGCTTTTGGTACATGTGGTCAAGTTCGCCTCCAGCTTTCCAATAAGCGAAGTCGACCTGTTCAGTTGTGCTTGTAAAAGATTTATTTTGTCAACAGAAGTTATGTTTTGGTGAGCACAATCATGCTGGATGCGTGAGATATTAAGTTGTAGTTCTACCACCCGTGCATCATGGCTTTGGTTTACCAGCGAGTCGTTCAGCTGTTTCTCCAGTAAGTTTATTTTAGTACTGGATATATTTACAGCTTCTTCAAGTTGTCTTCTTTGCAAGGCACAACTGGTTAAATTGTTTGTCAGCTGTATCGCAAGAGAATTAGACTCGTTCACCTTGGTTTGCAATTCATGAATCTTATCATTCAAGACAACTTTCTCTTTACTGTACGTTGATTCTAATTTCGTTATATTAGTCTTCAAGGTCTGTACGAAGTCTTTTTGGTGCTGCAGCTCCGAAGAGAGCAACGAGTTACGTACCGTTAGTTCTATGTTCTTGTCACTGAGATCATGAAGCTGCTCATGTAGATACTTCAACTCGGCCGTCAGAAACGTTGGGTCGGGCGTACTCGGAACGGATGTCGGATCAAAGAGGAACCTCTTGTGATTGTGCTGGTTGCAAATAACTCCATATCGAGTTAAAACAGTTAGAAGAAAAACTCTAGGAATGAAATCCATTGACGATGAGGAACTTAGATTATATCATATCTGTCAGATGTCAAGGATCGGCGACACACCAAAAGATAAGGCTTTCTGTACAATTACCAAATTCTTATTTGATGCAGTTTTATTCTAAAAAGTCAGTGATATTCTAATACTAAAATCTTAAATTATGTTTTTTTTCTTTTTAGCTCATTACATGCCAGAGGTGTTTGAAAGCCATTTTTTCAAGCACTTAGCAGGGACTTTGAAAGTAAAGGGCAAACCACGAGTGTGTGTGTGTTTGGTGGGGGTGGGTGGGTGGGGACTCGGCGTAAGAATTTCATTTTAGAGCCATAGGAATCAAAAACAATAGAACACATTTTGATAAACAAGGAATATTTTCAACATAAACACACATAACTGAGTATATAGGTTTTTTGATCTGAGAAAATTTATGCAAGCACTGATCGACAATTTGTTATCATTGGCCTTTATCTTAAATCAACAGTTACTTCATCACACTACCTGTACAAGTAAGAATACTAGGTATGGAACACCAAATTGACATCTAATTAATATATGAATCCATCTTGGAGTCGATCGAATATTATAAAGCATAAATATCGTATATTCAGATTAATTCTATAAAGGGTGCAGTTTGCAAATATTTACATTTACCGGTACATATTACAATTGTCACCAAGTGTTTTAATTTTCTTGAAATTTTGGGTAAGATCTTCGTCATGACATCGTGATTTCTCGATTCAGTAGCATCGGGAAGCCAGGACGAACTGGGTACTGTAAAAAGACTTAAATATAAAGCATTAGAACTTCACCGTTTATGCAAATTAGCATGCGTTTCAAGATTGGCTATCACTTCACACACACACACACACCCTCACACACACAAAAGAAAAAAAGGCACACCCTCCTTAAATATACATGTATGTAGAGGTCAAATATGTTGGTACCCAAAGATACTTGTAAGTCTTGTCACAAAGAATATACACATGTGAAATATGAAAGCCATACCTCAACCCAATCAAAATCATGGGCAAGGTTAAAGTTTTTGCGGACAAACAGACAGACGGACGGACAGGGAAAAAACTATATGCCCCCGAATCTTCGATTACGGGGGGATACAAAAAGACGTTGTGTATAGAGAAAGGTATATAAAATATTTACTGCAGTACTTCAAAAATGTACACTTCATGTCTTGACAATTGATGTTGATTAAATTTGGCGCTCCGTAGTTAAATTGTTACAAAATGAGGAATGGCGATTGACAAAGTGAAATCTTATTTTAAGTCGTTTGACGTTAACTTTCCTGTGTTTTGTTTGACAATTCTGTTTGGACTGGGGTCGTGGCTCACAATTAATGGAGTCTGGGTAGAGCTGCCGACCATTGTTAACTTCGTTCCCGAGCAATGGAAATTGTCATCATACCTATCCATTATAGGCCAGATAGCCAACATCGGTCCTACTGCTGTCCTCATCCTTAACAAAGTGAGACCAAAGTGGCTTAACGAGACCTTCGTAACCTACGTCATCATCATTGTAGGCACTGCGTCATGTATCTCGTCGGCTTTCCTGTGGCAGAAAACATCAGCAGTAGGAGGAGAGGAACACAGTGTGGCGTTGTTTATTTTCGTTTTTCTTCTTGGTCTTTGTGACTGTACATCTACAGTTATATTTCTACCATTCATGGCCCTACTGAAGCCAGACTATATGACAGGGTTATACATTGGGGAAGGTTTAAGTGCACTTGTACCAGCAGTGATAGCTCTCGGTCAGGGCGTTGGAAATACCGAGTGTAGGAATGTATCAACTGTCAATATAACAATAAATATTACAATCTTTCACACAGAACAAGTTTCCTCTTCTCCAAATTTTCCCGTACGAGATTTCTTTTTGGCGTTAGCAACCATGATGATAATCTGTGGCATATCATTTTCTTTACTCAGATATGCCCCTTTCTGCAAGAGCGAGCGATTAAGTCTTACAGACAATTCGGCAAAATCTATCTCGACATCTTGCCAATTGCAGGAAAAGAAAGACTCGGCAAATGGTCATGCAGACACTACTGTGCTTATTCAGAAACATGAGCATAGCATGTCAAAGACAACCAAAGTTGTGTGGTTAGCTGTTATTATTTGGGTCAGTTTCCTAGCAAACGGATTTCTACCTTCCATTAGCACGTATTCCGCCTTACCTTACGGGACTGACGCTTACCATTTGGCAGCCATACTAGAAAATATAGCAAATCCTTTGGCGCCTACTTTGGCTTTCTTTCTTCCAGCCAAATCCTTTCGGTCCCTTTTATCTACTGCTTTAGCTGGCTCAATTTTCTCTGTCTATCTCATAGTTTTGGCGGGAATGAGTCCCAGTCCACCACTTGCGGGTTCACTAGCTGGGTCATTTCTTATGGTAAGTAGCTTTATGCGAGGCAAAATAATAAATAATATATTCTTTAAATATTTTTTCTTAGCATCATGTAGTACTTGCAGGGAAATGTATAACATTCATTTAACTGTTTTACAGGTGGTGTGTTATATAGGGAAGACTTGCCTGTTTATATATACCAAGGTATGTGTTGCCGTATTGTTTCGCCTTGATGGAAAACAATCCCTGTTTTTATTGGGAGGGGTCACACAGTTGGGGGCATGTCTAGGCTCCGTGGTGGCCTATATTCTGGTCAACGTGATTGTGGTCTTTCAAAGTTCTCCACAGTGTTAATTAACATTATTATGTTGGTGTAAATGTACTAGTATATTGGAGTATAATTCTATCAGGAGTACTGCCACCAAGTAAGAGATATGGAAGTTTGACTACATCCTCCAGGAATGCTAGTCTGTTCAAAAAGGAAGTCTTAATGTAGAGAAATTCAATGTTATTTTTACATGCTTTTATTTTTCATTTTCTACTTAAATCATAACATGCAAGTAAAATAATGTCATTCTCTGAATAAAATAAATTTGTATGTGAAAATAATGATGATGTCTTATTTTGATCTGCACCGTAAATATTCAATGTCTGTGACTGCGTTGGTGAGGGTGATGATGATCTTATATAAACATTGTATACAATGTACTTTGAAGGACTATGTAGCATCTATCACAATAAAAGTGTGACAATCCTGTATTTACGTCTCTCGTGTCACACATTCCTTCTACCTCCATTAACTGCTAAGAAGCGTCCTGTAAACATTTCTCAGGATGAGGATAGGGTACACCAAACTGAATACACACTTTTCTGAGGGTCTTCTCATACTCCTTGTTAAGTTTTGTTGCTTGCTTTAGTCCAAACTTGAGATCCTCTATTTCTTCAAAGAATCCCTAAATAAATAAAAAATGCATCAAACATAAGTTTCAATGTCAGTCATGTACACACTGGGATAAAGACTATGTGCTTACATGTACTTACAAAATCCAGTCCCTTCAATTCTGTCCTGAGTTTCTCATTTTCTCTTTTCATTCTTTCACATTCCTTGACTACTTTTTCATATTTTGTTTTCATTCCTATAAACAAAGATTATTATAAACCTAAGTTAAAATTTAAATGAAAGAAAAAGTGAGCAAGCTCACATACCCCACGCTCCCCCAAAACTCAACAATGCAACACATTTTAAATACACAATATAATTATTCAAAAAGGGGCATTACTTGCAAAACATCAAAACTTCTTGCATATAAGGACATTCAAATCTTTGTATGTTACAAATTTAATTGGGCTGAAGTTTCTAGATAAATAGTGGAATCAAAATTTCTTGGTAATATACAAATCTATACATTATGTCTGAAATACCTACAAAGTTTCAGGAAATTCAGTGCAGGAGTTATGCTGACAAACTGTTATTTAAATTCCTCAGTGATTTCGATTTGTTAATGAGTATAAGTCCATGTCCAACACATGACAATTTACACATTTAAATAATTGATGGAAACAAAATTATGATGTAGTCATATGAATTTGTTTTTATATAGTGTACTTATGAAATGATTTAAGGCAAAGCACCAATTTGAGAGGGGTGGGGGTTGGGGTTGAGAACTATCCAAGATTTTGTGTGTTGTGTGTGTGTGAGGGTGTGTGTGTGTGTGTGTGTGTTATATCATTAATATTTTGATCTCAAAATCAATAGGGGTCTTTTAAGGTCATGAAATATTTCACATAAAATTTAATTACAAAATTTAAAGCTGATTCCAGTGGATTTCCTAATTACCTAGCTGGAAAGTTTCTTCAATAATAGGCAAAACTCTTAAGGCAAAAATAATGGAATCGGAATTTCCTGGTAATATGCACATCTACACACTGTGTACTAAATATCTGCAAAGTTTAACCAAATTCCTTGCACAGTTTAAGAGGAGTTGCACTAACAAACTGTTCGTCTCTATATTCAAGATATGGCCAAAAATCTGAGTTGAAAAGTGCCGAAATTCCCAGAAAAATAATGGAATCAAAATTTCCTGGTAATATGCACATCTACACACTGTGTACTAAATATCTGCAAGGTTTGACCAAATTCTGTGCAGCGTTTTAAGAGGAGTTGCGCTGACAAACTGTTCATCTCTATATTCAAGATATGGCCAAAAATTTATGTTGAAAAGTGCCAAAATTCCCAGAAAAAATAAAGGAATCGGAATTTCCTGGTAATATGCACATCAAAACATTGTGTCCTAAATATCTGCAAAGTCTGACCAAATTCTGTGCAGCGGTTTATGAGGAGTTGCACTGACAAACTGTTCATCTCTATATTCAAGATATGGCCAAAAATCTAAGTTGAAAAGTGCCGAAATTCCAAAAAAAAATAATGGAATCAAAATTTCCTGGTAATATGCACATCTACACACTGTGTACTAAATATCTGCAAGGTTTGACCAAATTCTGTGCAGCGTTTTAAGAGGAGTTGCGCTGACAAACTGTTCATCTCTATATTCAAGATATGGCCAAAAATTTATGTTGAAAAGTGCCGAAATTCCCAGAAAAAATAAAGGAATCGGAATTTCCTGGTAATATGCACATCAAAACATTGTGTCCTAAATATCTGCAAAGTCTGACCAAATTCTGTGCAGCGGTATATGAGGAGTTGCGCTGACAAACTGTTCATCTCTATATTCAAGATATGGCCAAAAATCTGAGTTGAAAAGAGCCGAAATTCCCAGAAAAATAATGGAATCGGAATTTCCTAGTAGTATGCACATATACACATTGTGTCCTAAGTATCTGCAAAGTTTGACCAAATTCTGTGCAGCGGTTTATGAAGAGTTGCGCTAACAAACTGTTCATCTCTATATTCAAGATATGGCCAAAAATCTAAGTTGAAAAGTGCCGAAATTCCAAGAAAAAATAAAGGAATCGGAATTTCCTGCTAGTATGCACATCTACACATTGTGTCCTAAATATCTGCAAAGTTTGACGAAATTCTGTGCAGCGGTTTCTGAGGAGTTGCGCTGACAAAAAAACAGGACTGACGGACTGACTGACTGACTGACTGACACACTGACTGACTGACTGACTGACTGACGGACGGGTCAAAAACATTATACCCCCCGCAACTTGTTGCGTGGGGTATAATAAAGACTTACAAGATCCTAAAATAAAAAGGGGTTAATCAATTCACAAAGCAAACTCAGTTTGGTAAATACAATGTTTATATACCGGGTATGTATCACCATTTACAGAGTATTACTTATAATTCACACAAATTACAGTGAAACCTGTCTTATCTGATACGCACTGGGAGACAAATTTTGTGTTGGAATAGACAGGTTGTTGGATAACACAGTGTAAAGAACATGGAAAATAGTAAAATTAGAATGAAAATCAGGGTAGGAATTCACAGTGATACAGATTGTACAGGTGTTGGATTATACTGTTCTCACTGTAATGATAAAAATTCTTTATAGACAAAGAAGTTGTGAATGCCTTACCTGTTTTCAACTCTTCAGTTGATGCTGGCAGTTCTACAGACTTTTTCTTTGGGTTTTGATTCATTAACTGTCGTTCTAGGGACATTCTTGTGTTTTTTTCTTCTTTCAATAGTCGCTCCAGTTCTGATATTCTGATCTAAAATAAAATTCTGAGATTTTCAGGTGATAGCTAATGATCTGTGTCTTAAATTAGAGATGTTTAACCGGACTATTATCCCTGCAGTAACTCCAAACCAAAACAAGAAAAGTATTGGCAGTTTAAGATTTTTAATAATTTCATTAATTTCAACCTCTACAGGCCACAAAATCAATTCGTTATTTCCATAAATTTGTTATAACAACTGTGTTTGTAATAATGGTAAACTTTTACAAGAATTTTTTAAAAATTTTGCCCAGGATCCTAAAAAACTTTGCTATATCTGTGTTCTCAGTGACATTTCACAAGTTAAATTTAAACTAGTTTAACTGTACCAAATATCACAAAGTAATCCAGAAAACAATTAAGTTTATTATTGTTATTGAAATAAAAGACGTGATTAAAAGTCACATGCAGGATGTAACCTCCACTCCTTAAAATAAATACCAAACAATCAACAAGACAAGATTATTATGTTCATAACTCTTGTAAAATCTGAAAGGTAAGAACAAAATCATGAGCTCCTGTTTCCTGTGGAAATGAATTATTTTGCTTTGTCCAGTTTTGGAGAGAAATACTGGTGTGACACCTTAAATACAGTTCTGAGATTTGTGTTTCATACATAGATGCATGGACAATTGGACGTACATACTAGGGATGGGTATCGGCAAAAATTTCGTATCGTGATATATCACGATTTTTTCCTAAAAATATCACGATTTTTACACACAATTTTTACTACAATTTAAAATAATTTTTCATCATATTTCTTAAAAATATGCCATATAAACATAACTTTACATTTTTAATTTTCATTTATTTAGTATATAGCATATTTTGATGCCGTTGTTTAACTGTTTTCACTTTTTTTTTTACACTTCCTATGATTGTCATTCAATACTTTGAACAAATACATGAATAATTTTTGGAATTTATAGTTATGTACCAAATACCGGTATTTTAGTCTCCGTATCACGATACGTATCACGCAATGAAAAATCGCGATATACCGGTATATCGATAAAATCACGCATCCCTAGTACATACAGACAAGTTGATTCTAGCAAACCCTTCCTGCTTACTGCCACATTGTACACAGGTAAAATTGCAACGTATGTTCAACATATGTTTCGAGAACATAAGTTGAACATATGTTGACCATATGAATTTTCGACAGTATGTTGAACATATGTTTAAAAAATATGTTGAACATATGTTTGAAATATATGTTGAAAAATAAAGCAGACTCAAAACATATGTTGAACATATGTTGCTCGTTTTTTATGGCAAACATATGTTTCAGAACATGTGTTTAACATCTGTTAAACATACATTGCAATTGTACCTGTGTATATAATTACGGTAATCTTTATTATTAAACACATGTTCACTAAGTATTAAGTTTACTGTAACAATGGCATACTCTATGTAGCCTGATCTTACATTCAGATCTGTTATGGTTTCTACATGCAGCATATTCATCTTTACTTCCTTTTCATATCTTCTCATCATCTGATTATGTAGAGACAAGAGCCTTAAAAGAACAAAATGTATGTGAAAATATTAATAAATATATATAATAGTATTATTGTATATATAACAATAATATAAGATTGTGCTAAAGAGTGTACTGTCAACATTGCATTAAATTCTGAATATACATTGTATTACAATAAAATTGGTACATATATTGTTCTTGTTCATATTAATAAATTTATGAAAATAATATTTTTGTGGCACTACACATTCAATTGATTTTAAAATTTCAAGAACAGATTATAAAAAAATTGACATCTCTAACAAGAGTCACCCAAATAAACTCTACTTTCAAATACAATTTTCTACAGAACTTGGGTATTCTAACTTATTTTTAGTCTATCATCGCATACCACAGGTTTTGTTTCTATTATATTTCCACAAACAAATGGCAATTTGTTCATTCTCATGAATGCCTCACTAAATACTAGTGTTTATTAAGTGATACCAGATTTATCTTGACATATGTAATCACTCTGTGGCAATTTTGGGCACATTTACATGGAGATACCCATAATAGAATCATGTCTGCTATGTTTGGTGATTTATTGGTAAAAATATGATAGATTCTGAAGAACAAAGGTGAGTAAAAACAAAGCTCAACATTAAAAGACAGGGTTTTGTTTGCAGATTATTTGTGAATATGCTGAACAGCGTCACTCGTTTAGACAATGAAATTCAAACTGAAGTTGAATGTATGGCTCGTGTTTATGGTTACATTCAAATGTAAGACTGGCCTATCATTTTCACTGGACAAAAGTTTCTGACTTGAAGTGTTGGATCATTATTCCATTGATATATTGTATATCATTAATATTTATGAGAATGAGCAAATGTTTTAGTAGACAGCCACAGGTTTGTGGAAATAGAAGAGACACAAATCCCGTGGCATGCAACAATGTCTTTAGTCCTGCTTGATGGAATTTTTCTAACATTATACATGTACATATACAGGCAACATGCACGAGAGAGAAAGAGAGAGAGAGAATTCAATTGATATGTGTCATGATCAATTCATACTTGTTTGTCTGTTCCACATCTGCTTTAAATGAGGGGTCCTCCTTCTTCTTCACAGCCACTGCTGGCTGCCACACTCTGTTTCCTTCTGTTTGTGTTGAAGAACTACAATTTTTTTTTTTTTAGCATCAATGGTCATGAAAAGTAATGATTATGAATCAAAGTTAATTAATTTCTTCAAAGAAAAAAAAATTCAATCTATTCACAAAATACACAATTATATTGATGAATGTTCTCATTTTAATGAGAAATTTAAATAATCAAATGGACTGAGCATGAAATGGCAAAGTCTAATGTTGTGATACAATGGTACATCAAAATAGGTCAATAAAAAAATGGAAGAAAATGAAAATTTGATGATGGAAAACTAGGGCTGTGTATTGAGCAAAATATTTCGATATGATACGATATTTTATAAAGTGATATGCGATATATTGGATTATTTAAGAAATGAATGTAATATTTTTTTCTTTGACCGACGTATCAAAGAAAAAATTTGGACGGAAAACGTCATCAATGCGCGTAGCGCATTGATGAAAACGTTTTCTGTCCAAATTTTTTCTTTGATACGTCGGTCAAAGAAAAAAATATTACATTCATTTCTTATCATTTAATTATGATTTTAAAATAATAAAATGAAACTTTCCCTCAGTTTACTATAAAATTTACGCATCAAAAACAGTGCGTAGGAATATATCACAACAATGTTGCTGAAATTCAAAATGGCTATAGGCCTAACGAAGAAACAACGTTCTCAAATATTGTCGTGTCACTACCAGCCTTTTCTAACAATAATTAACAGTTCTTTAACACAAAAAACTTACCTGTTGTGTTATTAATTTTTTGCTATATCCCAATGGGTATATTTTCCCCGGTTCGTAAATTTCAAGGGATGCTACTCAGATATCCTAACAACTCTTTCTATAGGTCACAGAAATTTTGAATTTCATTTGCGCATCTCTTCATCTGAATTTCAAACCGAACATATAAATATGTATCACAGCCTGTCCATGCTGTAAAATCTGAAAGAGTCTGTTGCCTACTGTTTAACATTGAAAGAATTCCGTCCTCATTCATGCAGCGCCCTTCATGCCGTGTCGTTTTTCTCGAACATTCGATTCCTAAGAATTAACAGATTAACGGCATTTCCCCGCTTTGGTAGCATAAAAACATTTCTTCACAGTTCTATTGTTCATACCAGTTATCTCAAAGTCAAACATTTAACATAGGTATGCTGATTTCTTTCTTTCTTTCCCATTACTGTATTGTTGTCATGCAGACGATCTGATTTGTTTAGCAAAGGGGGATAATTCAAAAAGAAACGAAAGTAGACAATAAGTCAGGAACGTAACGGACAAGTTTCGAAATTCAGGAATATATCTATTAGAGAAAAGGTATTCAATTGTTCCTTCATGAACTTCTGGAAGCGGGAAATACACATGTAAAGACAGGCAAAGTAGTTCCGGCTGCTGAGTGCAAGCGAACTCCAAATTCTATTGATGCAGTTATCAAAAGAATTTTTTATCCAATCAGAATCAATTATTTTAAAGAAATTAAATGATTTATTTAGTCTTTCAAAAATGTCTTGTAAATGACATTTAATGTATAAATTTGATAAAAACTGGGTGAGTCTAACATAACATGTTAATAGCGATTCTCTGTAACCACTTAAACTTCTCTGCCACGCATGGTCACCGATTTTGATGAAATTTTGCCCATTATTACAACTTAACACCAGAAACATATATCAAATAAAATTTCGTTGCTATGTGTCTTGGTTGCCATGGTAACAGGCAGAAAAGTTGAAAAAATTGAGATTTTCAGCTACTTTGAATCTTTATTAAGTCTTAATAAAGACTAAGAAAAACAAACAAACTATTATCACAAAAACATGACACCTTGTTGCAACTTATGCTGTAAAGAAACTATTTAGAATTTATCTCTAAGTAGGTGGTAACCATGGGTACATTTGGAATACATTTAAGATGCTGAAAAAATGCTGAAAAACGCTCAATATTCACTAATGATAGATGTTACATGATCAAACTCAATCAACAATTGAAGAAAAACGATAAAAATATTTGTCCTTAAGTAATAAGGTATTGGCAATATTATTCTAAAAATAACTTTCATGGTTGCCATGGTAACACAGTGTAATGATGCAAAATTCGTTGCTAAGATTGGGTTAATGCTACTATCTTGAGGTAAAACAATAAAATTCATGACTGGCACATATACATCCTTAGGACCTTGCAACACCGACAACATAAGAAAAATTGGGATTAATTGTTACTTTGCAGTGTAACCATGGAAACAACGTACCTGTTGTTTAAAGTGATATTTTCTTACTGCCTTAGGAATTTACTTACCTTTTAATCAAGGAACATATGATTTGACTCACCTTGAATAGTACTTATCTGGTAGAACTAAAGTTGAATATCATATATTGATAAAGTTTGTTGAAAAATACAACACTGTTGCTATGGTTACCAAGAAGGGAAAATGTTCAATTTCGTTAATTTTATTTCAAAATTAAATCCTATGTGCCAGCTTTTTGCATCCAGTTAGAGGTTGGTTGGTAGTCAAAATTGAAAGTCAGGTTAGTTGTTCATATATATCAATCATAAAAGTTTTGGGAATCTACATACAAGGGTACATATCCAAGGAAACAGAATATTTTTCAGATTTTTATGCATATTTTTTCGGCTAATTTCCATAGCAACGCTCTATTTAAAGAACCAAATTTGAATTTTTTGAAATGTGAAAATTAGGGTCACACCAACACCTTTAAAAATTGATCATCAGTTATATAGAAATATGCTTTGTAAAAAGATAGGATAAGATTAAAATACTAAGAGAGTAAATATAAAATCCCTTTGTGGTATTAAAACCATGGCAACCATTGCCAACTTATTAGAAATATCATATTTCGTCCTTGGTATACGTTACAAGGATCTCCTGTCTATTATTTGCTTGCATTTCAACCTATAATTGTTTTTATTCTTAAGTGTATGACTTTATAAAATTAACTGAACAAAATTATTACTTTTGAATACTTTGTTTCCATAGTAACGTATGTAATAGTTGATTTACCAAACATGTTTATCATGCATTTAAGACATCAGGCCTTCAACTTTCAGAAACAATCATTGCCACTTGTTTGCTTTGCTGCAAACGTTAACTGTGGGACTCTGAACATGTTGAAAAATGCCATTTTTCAAAATTTAGGACATGTTGCTATGGTAACCATGACACGTAGCAACCAATTTTTGCCTGATTTGAGTTTACGGTATCAAAGACTTTTATCATAGAGAGTTTGGAGAAATTCTGAGACTATGCGTGCCACAGTTCCTATATAAAAGTTAAAGTCATTACAGAGAATGGCTCTTAAAATATAGTTGTCTATGTATTTTGTAATAGCTATTTAAGATGTCTATCTCCTTAATGTTTATTTCATTACTGACCAGTTTTAATTCAAAACATTTAAAAATAATCTTTGGTAACTGAAATTACCAACTTTTTTACAGAATTATAAGGAAAACTGCCTGTCCGATACGTATTGGAAGTTATTTTTTTAATACGATACATTCCTGAATATCGATACGTATTGAACATTCGATATATTGACACAGCCCTATGGGAAACTTGTTATCTATAAAATGAGCTTCATCTCCACACTTGAGTTGTAAATGACTCCAATGTACCATCTTGATTAAAAAAAAATTTAATTTTTTATTAAAAAGAAGAAAAATCTTGAAAATCTCATACTAGTGGTTCAAATAGTTAGAGGGACAAGCATACAAGGGTAACGTTAGGAGACATCATTTCCTTCAAGGGTTGGGTTTGAGTGGGGAGCTGGCAGTTTTTGGAAATAATCTGTCCTCAAAACACTGAAAATAAACAATCAGTCCTTAACTGGTGCTGCTACCCTCTCTCCCTCACCACCACCAAAACGAGAGTTTTTTAAATTTGGCAGTTATTACCTTTTTTATGGGGACTTGTTAAACTTTTTTCAATTTAGAAAAAAAAAACAACTATCATTGCAGCTGGAAATGCTCTTGGCAATTATTTTCCACCCCATTATGTGTTCTAGGGCATATGGCTTTGGTTTACTGGGTTACTTTTATTTGTCAATGCAAGCGGTGGTTGCAGGAAACAAAAATAAATACCAATCATTATTTTAAGAAATCCAGAATCTCAACATATTCTTTGGGAAAAACAACCCCTTACTCTCTTGTTGTGACGTAATTCTTTAACAGTTCTTCCCTCTGCAGCTTCTGCTTTAGATTTGACAGTTCTAATTGAATGTCGTCTTTCTGAACTTTCAATTTCCAGCATTTCTTTTTCAGTTTTTCATTTTCTGCTGTCAACTATAACACAAAATATAAAATTAGCACATATATAGTAGCAGTCTACTGCTGTGTTTTGTTAATGATACATGATTGTTTAATGAACTCAAATGATGTATTATCATATGCAACACAAAATCTTCTTTTTGTTTTTAAAATATATGATGAAACCTTTAGATGAAACATTCTCAGGTCTGGTACAATCACTAGATTTAGCTATGTAGCTTGAATTACCTACATAGCTTTATTTACCTACCTGAAGTAGCTTTATTTAGCTACTAAATCAAACTTATTTCTTAAATTAGCATTTTTCCCAGAAAGTGCAGAAAATTGCACTTTGATGCAGTGACAATTTTCAACTTTGAACTCATATGAAAACAATTCATGAAAAAATCACTCTTGGAGATGTGTCTTTTTCTGCACAATTGCAATCAAAGTTCTAAAAGTTTTGGGGCAATATACAACAGTTAATTTGTGACCTAACAGTTAGGCCAAAAAAAATAAAAGTCTTGTTTCCTGCTACCCGACCTACCCTATTTTTTTGCACCCGACCCTAAAGTTTTTTTTAAGTTTTGGAAGAAAAATAATCGGGAATTTCTGGAATTTTATCGTTCTGTCACCGAAATCAGTTTCTGTGTTAACACAAAACAAGCATTTCATGAAATTCTTGTTTTAAATATGGACTTTCATAAAATACCACTTGAGTTGTGCATAAAAAGACATGAAATTCAACTTTAAAAGACAATATTGACCTGTGACATGTTTAATTTTTATCTTGTATTAGTTCATATCCAAAAAATGCTGTCGGAAAAAAAATAAAATAAAAATATAAAATAAAATAATTTTCCTACCTACCTACCCTATTTTTTTCAGGCTGGTAGCAGGAAACAAGACTATTATTTTTTTTGGCCTTACTTCTTGAGTGAAATAACAAAGAAAACCAGTTTTGGTTAAGGTCAAGATCTAGTAAATGATTTTAGACTGTCTTTTTGGTGCTAGATCCATTATGACATCATAATCAATTTAAACTTTCTTTTTCCCGTACTTTACGGCTCTAATAGAATTATGTAGAAAAAAAAAATATTTTTGTGGAATTCAATTTGAAACCATGTGAAAAGTAATCCTGAAACCTATATTCAATTTAAAAGTATTTTAAAGAAGACACTGAGAACATACAAATTAACATTTTCTGAGAGACTGAAGGCAATCTGGATACATTTCCTTTGTCTGATATGCAAAATACTCCTATATTCATAATTGGTTTTCTTAATCCTTCCTTGAAATTGACAGTTTAAAATAGGAATTTTCGTCTTTTTTACCTACAAATTATGCACCGGAACACCTTATTTGACCAAGCTAAAGTTATAAAGCATCATTAAAGGAATTTATTTCGCAGATTTGAGAAATCTGTAGGCATCTTTCATTTACTAGATCTTGAGCACAATGTGAAGTAAATCATATACTTTTCCACGCTACATCGCACACAAGGTGGTGTGCAGTTACTCAAACAATGGAAATACATATTTTCCTTAAAAGTGTTCAAACGCAGCCATGTTAAATCTATCTCTGTTTTAGAATGCTTTTTAAATAATACCTAGAATAAATTTTAGCAGACATTTTCTTGCGACTTTTTGTCTTTTTAAAATAAAAAGCAAAATTGTGAAAAGTTGCTTTGAAATAGTTAAATAAAGCTACCTGAGGTAGGTAAATAAAGCTACGGTAGGTAATTTAAGCTACGTAGCTAAATGTACTGATTGTACTGGACTGATTCTTGCATAAAGAATTAAAGATATGGAGAGATTATAAAGGAAATTCGGGTCAATTAAATAATTTCTAAAATAATTAACACATCGATGCCTAAAAAGGTAGTTATCTATGTTTGGACAATACCTGAATACAAGTGTGAATATCTGGAAAGGACATTTTATTGACATCTAATAAGTTCTGCAAAACATTTTATCTCCGGAACCCCCACATCGCAACAATATAAACTTCCGGTATGTCTAATTTTAAAATCTTCCCTGTATTCAATCCCGAAAAACTATTGGTTACTTCACAATCCATGACTAAGGAGATGGGTGAACATGACGAGCGATAAGCCTATAGTGTGACAAACATGAAGATGAAAAATTAAATTTCAATTATACCAAAATTTTCCTGGATATTTCGTCTAACATTAAAATATACTTATATAAAGTAAAATCTCTACAATTTGCAAAAATCCCTCAAAGATTGAAATTATTTGCCTGTGAAATATTAGACAAACACAAAAGCGGGCTAAAAGAGTCATTTTCTCATACTATAATTAATTTTTCGATATGAATGGGTCTTCGCTCCACCTTTTTGAAAGTTAATCCTCAAAGTTTGCACTGATAAAAATATACATTTTTTGGTTACCAAAAATACGGAGCAATGACCCACTATACCTTAAAAATATACTTTTATGACATAACATTCGCAGCTTTTCGAGAAATACCATAGGCAATCCCCAACTTTATTGTTAAAAAATATATATCTACTATACTATAATAGTATAGTAGATATATATTTTTTAACAATAAAGCTGGGGAGTGCCTATGAGAAATACTTGAAGTCCATTAAGTCAAGGGTCATATCACAAACATGATTTAAATGCCACACTTCATCAAGACTTGTGTAGTCTAGTGGTTAGCGTGCTAGTCTCGGAAGAAAATGATACTCAGGATTTTTATTGCTAGGGTTCGAACAACACGAATACCTCATTAATTTTTTTAATAAAAAAGAATACATTTTGCCAAGAAAATTTTCCTCAGAAAAGTTTTGTTTATCATAATTTCATAAATTTCAATAATGAGAACTTTACTCTAAATACTAAATTCACAAACTGAACACGATTTTTATATATCTGAAGCCATAGGCTTTCTGCACGCCATGTTCGCCCATCTCCTTTACATGATTTACGTGTTTTAATGCTTATTGGAGTTAGATTTTTAATAAATAAATTATAAAGACTAAAACATGACCTCAATGGGTAACAGGACGTTTCGCTCCTATTGACCAGTGGCGGATCCAGGAATCTTGTAAAGGGGGGTGGGGCGCGACCAGTTTGGGGTCGGAATAGGGGCCCATAGCCACACCAAAGAAAATTATTTATTAAATCTCATGTATATTTTGGACACAAAGGCAAGGGGGGGGGGCTGCCCGCTCCCTCTAAATCCGCCAGTATTGACAATACGAGCAGAGACCATTTGCCCTCAAGAGTTTTCGCGCCACTATAATTTAATGAAATATTATATATAAATATTAAGATGTTGATATCAGTTTACGTATAAAGTTTATATTGACTTTACTAAAAAATTAATAAAAATAAAAATTATCAAAGCTTCTTGATCTAACTTGATGTTAACTTTAATCTACAATATAGTTTGCTATCCAACTGAAGAACTTAAATGATATGCAAGTTTTCATTAATGCAGAATTCTATGTACATACATGTATGTCTATAATAAATGGCAATTGTCAGAAATTTTTCAAATGACATTCTAAATCTGAAAGGTGAAATTTAAAATTTTCTTATAATGTACAATGAACTGCAGATTGGAGTTTTCATGATGGATCCTAGATTTTTGAAATTTGTAGTGCAGCACCCTAAAAGTCAATAAGCTAGCATTTACACCTAGTTCTATAGTAGAACAGGGTTACCTTCGTACATATACATGTTGTTCAATGTGCAAAATATATCATCTTTTCAAACTCTCAGTTTTTGATCTGTTAATCTCCCAAGGAGTTCAGCAAACCCAACACCACTGGCTTGCAAACATGAGGATATATATAATTATGTTTTACATCTGAACTAGTTATCAAATGTCACTTTCATTCATAACAGTGGACAACAACACAAAAAGAAAAGATTGAAAGATAATAAATAATTTAATGGAACTGGATCAGATTCATTGGGTTTAACAACATGTAATAACTGACACTGTAAGATTGGCTGAGGTTTCATTCTTCCAGACTTTAATATGGACATGTAAAGATATAATAAAGCAAGTGGAACATTTCCTATAAACTCAAAAGCTATAGAATATTTCCTCGGCCAATAATTTTTGTAAGACATTTTCTCCAACCTCAAACCCTGTAAGACATTTTCTCCAACCTCAAAGCCTTTAGGACATTTCCTCCAAACTCAAAGATTGTAGGAAATTTCCTCCAGCTTCAAAACCTATAAGATATTTCCTCCAACTTCAAGGCCTGCAGGACATTTCTTCCAACATCAAAGCCTGTTGGACATTTTCCCTGACTTCAAAGTCAGAAGAATATTTCCTCTAAAGTCTACATAACATTTCCTCCTTCCTTTATGTCAGTGGGGCACTTTCTTTAACCTCAAAGCCAGCAGGACACTTCCTCTTACACTAAGTTCAGGTTTCTACACAGTGCAGTATTACACACTGCTGAATTATAAGCATAAAATATATATATATTTCTAAGCACACAAGTCACAAGAAGTCATTCAGAACTAGCATTTGATGACACACCAAATCTCTCACTCTAGTCTTCATCTGAATCATCCAGTCCTCTCCGTTTAAACTGTCAAAACATAAAAAAAAGTACCATCTTAAATTCTTCCAAAGTTGCATGTAACATCGGGCAGAAATTACCTATTTCAAATTTCTCTTATACATTAAAATACAAACAATGGTAAAAAGAGTTTTTTTATCAGTAGTTTTGCAATTTCTCTTCACTTTACAGTAATTTCCTTACAGTGCTCAATTTTGTGGTATAAATTATCATACATGTACAATACCTTCATGAAACCAGACCAAAAGTTTAGATAATCAGAACACCAAAGAAAAATCTTAATAATTTTTTTTTTTTTTACAGAAAACCTCTGACAAATTTCAACTAACTGACCTTCACAGTGGTTTTCTTGGCTGTCTGTTCTGAAACTCTTTCTAACAAACTTTTCAGTTGTTGTTCACCAATCTAAATGAGAAAGAAATGCCTACATTTTAATAAATTTGCTCAATATTAATATGTAAACCAAGTCACACATGCAGTTACTAGTATTCCATACTTTTGAAAGGGATGTCAAAATGGGAAAAAAAAAAAAAAAAAAAAAAAAAACGAATTAAAATCTAGAAAATGGGGCACATTTTTTAGTTTTTAATTTTCTTATCATATGTACATTATTGTACATGAGCCATCAAGGTACTATAAAACACAGTTACAGCAAACACGCTCATAATGAATTCATGATCAACATATTTCAAACTTAATATATATAAACTTATTGGATATAATTAACAAATTCAGGTTATTACAGACTGTATGAATAATTGTTCATCCCTGGCACTTCTGTATAGAGATGTTTTCCTGTACAATGCATGCTTGGTACACCACTGTTTGTTTTAGGGGGACAAATTAAACATTAAACACAGTTCTTATTAAATTCAATTACATGGGAAATTTTGTATGCAAATGAATCTAGAAAACTGAAAAAATTTACAGATGATCCAAATATGGACATGCAAGTTTGTTTGAATTAGTGAGTGACAATGAGAGTCAAATTTTGTATATCTGATGCAGAGCATACATCACACATAATTAAGTGTCCAAAGATGCACTGCTAGTTTGTAAGGACACCTCTTGAGATGAGCCAGGAATTACCAAGTAAATGATATATGTAAGCTTATGGACACTTGCTACAAGCAAAAAATCTGGAGGCACAGATTGGTATCTAACTTGGAACTTATCTTGGTAGTTGTTGATGATAAAATCAAATTCCTAAAATATCAAAGAAATTGTAGATTTTATGTTAAAAACCATGCCCCTTATAAATATTTGTTTTAAATCACTTCATATGATATTTATATAACATTACTCATAAAAACTTTGTGGTTAAAATCATAAATTTTTCTTATTTAAATATGAATCTGGTATCTATTTTCATGAACTTTAAAGTTTGCTAATAGCAATTAGCCGTGTGCTTATTAGAACAGAAAGATAGCAGATATATACACACTGACTTTAATAACACACGGTTGAATGTGGCAAGTAAAGGCTTAGAAATCTTGAGAAGGAAAGTTACAGATAAAATGGAAAGAACAGGTTTCCCGGGACAACCTTGAAATAGCTTTAGAAGAACAGAATTAGATGTAGGAGTATCATCAAAATCCTATTCTCCAGAAAAGGTGTGTAAGATAGAAAGAAAGGTTTAGAGGTTTTCATGTGCTGACAGATAAACCAATAAGTAATTACTATAGGACACCCACATATTGCAGCAAGGCTTGAAATAAAAAAAAAATGAAGATACTTTAAACCTTATTTTGAATTTGTCCTGTCTGTGCCATTTGACAGAGCATATTTTCCACCATTTGAGCTTTTTCTGGCTTAGCTACTGCTATTGTATTTACTGTAAAAGAAAAAATACATAAAGATCTGTTTAATTAATCAGGGTTCTCCACATTTGAAAATTTAACCATGGAGGGAGCTGTGCGAAGGCACAATGCAACCAAAAACACGAATGCATGTTAGACTTCCTAAACTTCATTAATCAATGATTGGTTACATGTAATTCACAAAACTTAACCACAGCAGCACAAAAAGTTGAAATAACCAATAATTGTTTAAGCTAAAAAATAAAGAAAAAAAGATTATGTATCTTACTCTACAAATGTGCCAAAACTGGTCCAAAACTGTAGAAATATTTTGAAGGAATTTCAAAATAAATATTTTGATACAGTAACCATGGCAACAGTATTCAAAAAATGATATACAGAATTGATGTTACCTGTTATATGAAACGTTTTATTTAAATATGACTAAAATTAATGAATTGGTAGTACTTTAAAAAAAAAAAGTTAACAGACACTCAAACAAATGAAAGCCGATATCCTACTAATGCCCAAGCTTTTTTAACTGCATGGTCTATGAAAACTTACTGGTGGCATGCATGGTAAAAGTAACTTTGTATAACCAGGGGCATAAATTTGCATAACTGTAATTTTGCTTTCTCTATTCTGTCCTTTTCTAAACGTTCTTTTTTCTACATATTGCATTTTCACCGAGTTTCCTCCATTGTTTATTCCTCCATGTGCCCCAGTGCTAAAACAGCGCCACGCGACGTTTCATAAAACGGGAGGTAACTCTAAAATTAAGACGATGATTGGCACTTACGTACATTTTATCAGAAAGATAATAAAGTCAATACTTCAAAACAAAGCATGAGGAATTAATTAAATACAAAGAATAGGAAATTTTGAAAGGGCTCTTTTTTTTCTGGGCATAGAAATCGGATGATTGTTGATTATCATGTTGTTAATTACTGCTCGTTATGTCATTTTTTTAAGATCTGTTATCGTATAGTGAACACGTTGGAATTTCTCGAAATTACATGTATGTGTATAAGATAATTAATTTTCAAGATATTGATCATCAGCTGATTGACTCTCCATTGCCACTCTTCACAGCATAGTCACCAATCAGCGACCGTGTTTGTTTAGCACAGTCCGCTTTCCCTCGAGGCATGCGAGATGCATGGCAGTCGTAGTATAAACACAATAAACTACTCGAGTCATTAAAAAGTAGGTGTAAATACTAAAATGCAGTAAAAATTTAATCATGGCGGCCACCGATTTTAACCATGGCGCAGCTCGTTTAACCATGGCGCACATAAATTTAACCATGGCGGGCCGCCATGGTAAAACCCCTTGTGGAGAACCCTGATTAATGAGCCTATAAACAAAGATATTGACATGGAAAAAAGTACTATAATTCATCATTTTTCCAGTTACATAAAACATATTCACAATAAAGTTGATAATTCAAAATGAAAGTAAAATTACATGTATTGTCTTGCTTCTTATGTTTATAAACTCTCTGAATAATTAATCTCACATCTAGCTCTGGCTTGTTGGTCTAAAACTTGGCTCAGGATAGAATTCTTCATGTCCTGCATCTGTCTGGCCTTCTCCTCTTGTTCTTCCTGGCCTTGTCGACCAGCTCCTCCCTATAAAAACAAAGATTTATATATAAGGTACCAAACTTGTCTTCTGATGTTTACTGTGAATTACAAAATACTAGTAGTATGTAGATCATTAGGGTATACTGTATGATCAGACAATTATAACAGTATGTTTTTAACTTTTTGGGGGCAAGTGAATGCAAACGTTGACTTGTACAAATGTAAAACCTGGTTGACTGAAATTTAAAACATAAATATTATGAATTCCTCAAGAAACTCAAAGATGCATGACATTTCCCTACGTTACTTTATTTCAAGAAATAGTCCTTGACAATATCATTACCTATGTTTTGGGGGGGGTTATTTTGAATTTGTCCCCCCCTCCCACGATATACTATAACAGAGATGACTGGAAAGCCATGCAGAGAAAAGAATTTCCAAAGTAATGTAAGATAAAGAATATATTTCTTTCAGAAATATGCACTTGCCCATTTGGACAAGTACATTGTTGATACTTTCACTTGCCTAAGGGGTTTTTATCATGTATCTAAATTTCTTAAAAATGAAACACTATTATATTCTTGAAACATATAATTATCGTTTATTTATGAAATAATGTTGAAAACAGTCGTAATTAGACGATAAAACGCCCGTAATATAGGGTCCTCTGAGTAAAAATCTCCACTAATTAGATCGGGGTCACATGGTACTGAAACATCATAGGTGTCAATGGTCAATAGAACTCGTAAAGCTTATCGTAAGAAAAAAAGATATTGAATAGATTTTAACACTAAATAAATAGAATACACAATATGGCCGGTTGAAATTTTGACATCGACTATATTCCTTTGGTTATGGACAGTCAATCTTTATGTATGAATATCTAGCAGAGAGAAATAACCAGAAAATATGCCGACAATTGGAGAGGTCACCGAAGACGAAGCCGTTCACACATCAGGACTTCAACTAAATAGAACGAGTTACTAAAGTTTAACTTCGTAAACATTTATAAATATGGGAATTTTAAATTCACCTTCATTATTATCTTAATTAATTATAAATAAATAAATCCTGTATATCTTCTATCTGTGCAGTGAATACCATGTACTAGAAATGACACTTCTTCAATGGCGCCGTACGCCATTACGAAGTTCACAACATTCCTACTAGATTCTGTGCAACTTTTAAAAAATGTGTGTTTGTCATTTATTATTTTTTAAAGGTATCTTTCCTTAATATATTTTATAGGATAGAAAAAATAATACGGATCGATCGGGCATAAACTATTCGCAGAAAAAGGCCCGCCTTTCATCTCTCGACCAAGTCCAGGAAATGTGGGGAAAAAATTCTTCCTTAAACCCTTCTTTTGTACATTTGTGCATCCTAACACCATAAATTATACCTTACCAGCTGTCAATTATCCAACTATCACTTAAATATTTTCTAACAGGTTTAATAGACACAACAAATGAGCCCTTTTGTATGCAAAATAAGTACTTCGCTTGACCAGGATTGACACCTATGACGTCAGAGCAATGGCGCGTAACATTGGCGATCAAAATATGCATATTGAGAAATTCAAACTTTGAATGGCTGAAACATCAAAAATATTAATTTTCTAGCAAAGATTTTTAAATATATTATTTTAATAGCATGTAAACTTTCCCATATCAAAAAATTTTGAGACGTGATAAAAACCCTTTAACTGAGATTTTACTTGTCTCAGGTAATCGGATGCCTATCCCTGAAGGAAGACATGAGATAAGAATTTATGCACGTGAATACGATTCTGGTGTTATATGTAAATAAATGCAATATTTTGTTTCATTAGTTTTTCTTCTTGGTAAAATCCACTGTGACTAAATAAGGGCAGTAGTCTACTTTACATATTCATATTAATGCATGTGTCATATAGCAAATTCTAGAAAGATCATAAATGTGTAACTGTGTATAATATACACGTGAAATATTAACACTTTGAAGTTCTTCTTTCAATTCTTTCTTCCATTTGAAGTATTTCATTACTCCTTATTTAGATGTGATGACATTTTACCCCATATTGGGACTGTAGTTGGGCCATTCTTTGGGCCCTCAGTGCCTCTAACTCTTCGTCCGCCATGTTTCTGTGAAAAATATTTAAAATCATGAACAAGAAGAATAAATAGTTCCGGAATAGTCTAAGTGCCAATGTCCTTGAAAAACATACAAACAATGAGAAAAGATTGCTTTAATCTAACAACAAGAACTTTTTTTAATATCCATGAAAGTCTACGTCTGTATTTACGTCCAAAAATCTAATTTGATTTTGCGGGATATAAGAAATTAGGTTTTTGGATTTTAGAAGTAAGTTCCGATGTAAACATCCGTTATGGCTGAAAACATACCACATGGATCACCTGTTGCCAATTTTCTACAAAATATTGACTTAGCAAGACGGCAAATCAGAGGTGATATAGCCAAGCCCACCATCATACTTTAATAGATATTTATTTAAGATTGATTGTAATGGAATTTTCTTTTAAATAATTTTAAATTTGTAATTACAAGAAACGGTTTACCAATCTATCTGTTAAACTGTTCTGTATTGAAAATTTTAACCAGCAATGATTAGCGTAAACAGATATGAATATGTATTAAAGATGAAAGCTCCTCACACCGAGAAGATGGAGAATTAAATGCTGACAAACTCTGGTCACGAATGGGTAAGGCCGATTTTGTGACACTTCAAATTCAATCTTATCTATCTCTTAGTCTCCATACACCAAGAAGTAACATTTTGAAACCAGTAAATTAATGTGAGTGTGTCACTTGCTTAATTCATATGATTAACTTTGTTTACAGAGAATGTATTTAAAATAATATCACATGAAGCCACAAAGATTTCCCTGGCCTTCAGCGGTAGCCCAGTACCATCAGAAAAGGTAACTTCTTCATGTAGTAAAGTGCAGTATCATTGAAGGACTACTGCCTTTTCATACTTTCCATGACCATTTAAGTGAAGTCAGGTCTGTAGTATACCTAAAGATCTACTCTCAAAAACTTTTATAGTGAAAAGATGCATTTTTCGACATTTTCAGAATCAATCTTGAATTCTCCTATATAATTTAGACTTAAATTAGCACACACATAAACTAATTTGACAATTACAAGTCAAATTTAGAGGGGGGAGGGGGGCAGGGGGACCCTATTGTGACCCAAAATTTAGTAAAGATGAATGATTTTTTTGGGGGGTAGAAATTGATTTTATTGTACATAAAATATACCTAAATTAACTCACAAAACTGATTAAAAAAATAATCTTAAAACCTTAGAGCTTTGCGACCGGGGCCCTTAAGGGCTTTGTCCTGGACCCACTAGGGACCTTAAGATGCCCCCAGGCTCCCTGGCCTGTTGGACTCCCTTTCTAGTAATTCTGGATCCACTACTGACAAAACAAAATATTATGAAGAAGATACATGTAGGGTATTGAAGATTTTATTTGAAATACATATAGAATTTAATAAAATCCAAAACAAATTACACTGTTATATGCATTCATTAAGAGAGTATATTCAATTTAAGCGAATTAACATAAAAAAAAAATCTCAAGTGACTTTGAGAACATGTTTAGAAATGTTTAAAAATTGTAAGAGGTCTATAAGACACACTGCAAAAGATTTAGCAGATTTCCTGTGTAATTCATGTTATGTATGGTAGAAATTACACGGATACTTGTACATGTCTTGGATGTGTGTTATAAAAATACTGTATAAAACATCCATACAAAGGTAGATTGAATGTAGCATGTGAATTTTTTATTTGTTTTCTCAGTAATAATTTTCTGATTATCTTAATGAAATTAATTTTTAGGAATGCACTTCACTGTTTAGCTCTGCAGAACAGGCAACATTGGCTCTTGTTTCAGTATTCTACTCCCTGCCAACATCACAAGGTTTGAACATTTTTCTTTAATCAGTAATTTAAGTCATTGTCATTTTTTTTAAATATGTTGCATATTTTTTTCTCTTGTCTCTCCTTCCATGTTTTTGATCAAAATTTTGTCAAGATCATAATTTGCAAATTATTTAAGTTATTGATTTGAAACTTAATGTAATATGTGCAGATTGTCACAGTATACCAGACTGACTGTACATGCCTCATGGTGTTCCAGATTCATTTCATTGTTATTTGTTTTCAGCATAAAAATTCAAAATGTAAAACTGTTAATAAATAGGGTTTAGTAGGGTAATTCTAGTGCTAGATGTTTTTATTTTCATATTTTGTATTTTTATGACTTTTTCACCTTTTCTATGTCCTGAGGAAGTGACAGGGCATCCCAAAAAATTAACAATTTTTATTGCTGGTACAATGTTGGTCATTTTTAGAGCTTTATATAATTTTCCATATGTGACCTTGTATCTATTTAGTAGATCCGACGCATACATATGTACATGTAGGATATACAGTGTTGTTGGTTTTTAGTGCTCTCTCTCTCTCTCTCTCTCTCTCTATATATATACATGTATATATCAGAAAGTTACTTGACACATATGTATATATATATATATATATATTATATGTAAATGCCAATGCCACAATTTTTGATATCAGCACTATATTGAATGTCAAACGTTTTGCCATTAAAGTTCCAAATTTAACAAATATTAAAGAGGAAGTCTTCTTCTTATTTGATTAGAAGGCATTTTTTAATTTAACTGAATAATGTGAATAGAAAGAAAGATTCTTAATAGGAATGTGCTGGTTATTTTTCTTTTGTATTCATAACAAAGAGGGAGAAAAACAAACTATAGAATAAAAAATGTTTTTGAAATTCAGTTCAAATTCAGAAGTTCAGAATCATGGATAGCACTTTTGCAAAATGTTGAGGGAATAATAAGAAAACAGCTAAGATTTACAGTAAATACTCAACATTTCAAGTTTTATTTTTTTTTTTTATGCAAGAGAAAATTTTAGAACTTGCATTCACTATTTTGGAGGCCTGTCTGATATCTGTCCAGGATTAGCCTGTTTATATTTTTGAACACTTACAGTGAACATATGTTTGGTGTCCAAAGCAATTTATGGATCAACTTTGAATTATATACTGAACAGAAACTTTTTATGCATTTAAATTTTTAAAACATGTAGTTTTTTTTGCTGTTATAGGTTTGAGGTTAAAGAAATCAACAAAAGAAGCCATACTCTCCCTGCTTGACAGTCTGAGGGAGCTTATATCCAGTATCCACGAGGGATGTCGGGGGTAAAGGAAACTCTAACTGGCTTTTCTGAAAACTTGAATTTTTGTTCTTGTAAATGAGAGTGTTTATTCTTCTTTAAATCTTACAGTAACCAGCAACAGCTGCAGTCAACAGGAGCTGTTTGGCAGGATGCTGATGTCTTCTCTACAATTCCAAAGAGTAAGGAATATTCTAAAATTATCTCTTTATCTCTTATGATTGCTATATATTCTACAGCTAGTTAAAATGACTTTGGAGATCCCAAGAATTGAGGGTTTTGAGATAAAAAGTTGTTGATATATCATTAAATAAACTAAAATATGAAGATAACAAACAGTAAGCATGCTCAAAAGTGGAATTAAATGTATACATGAATTGTGAGCAGAGCCAACATGGATCTCTGAAAACGGGTGCAATTAGGTTCCAAGGAGGCGTAAACATCCCTTTACGAGTCATTCCCAGGTTACTATAAGCCCTGTGCTGACCAAACTTACATGAATGATGTGTCTATAGGGATGCACACTATCAGGCTTTGTTCAGATGCTGAATCTTACTGAATTTTTGCAGATGATTGAACAGAGAAAGTTACTGGAACAAGTCCATTCACAAGTAACTACACATGTACCACGGGTAAATATCCTACCCAGACCAGATTTGCATAAATGTTGCTTCTAGGTATGCTCATCTCCAGAATATTTGTTTAGTGTGAGACTTTGTCTTACTAAAACAGAAAACTTGTTGATGTTAGCCATTTTACTTTAGATTAATATATATGTTTATGCTTTATAGGTACTGTATTTTACATTTTTTTTCTTGAGTGATATAATGGGAGTCAATATCTTTACAGAGTAATTATAGGGGGGGGGGGGGGTATTAACAGTCATCAAGCTGATTACAAGATTTATACCGGTAGTTATAATTTCATTTTCCTCTCTCATTAGATAACAAGGAAGCTGTTATTCACGAATTGAAAATATCCTCCCAGCTGATCAGGGACGCTTTAACAGAGCTAGAGCAGGTAGGTGGGTGATGGGAGTGTACCGTAGATATAAATATCTTTGTTGAATACATAGACAAGCTAGCAATCAAATGGTTCAATAATTATATGTTTGTGTTGATGTAAAGGTGCATGAAGTAATTAACTCTCTTAGCTATCATTAAAAGTAGAAAACCTATCATGTACCTTAAATTACAATTAATACATGAAATTCAAAGCTGTCAATTTCTGTCAAAGCTGTATATACTGTTTCTATAACAGCTCAAATTTCTTTTTGTGAGAGCAATGTATGACTTTTCTATTGTAAAAAAAAATAAATATTAACAGTCAGACTTTGATGTCTTGAACTTATTGAAATTATCAAAACTGTAATGAATATTAGTATTGATTTCATAGCATTAGAAGTCCATGATACTGATTCACTTTAACATATCCTTGGTTTTCAACACAGTAATGTCTTAGATAAAGTTCTCTCTATCTTTTATTGAGAAATATCAAAGTTCTACTGTGCTTTATTTTCCACTCTAACATTGTAGGCAATTGAGGAGGGTGGTTCTTCTGATGGACTCTTTGGATCAGAGGGGGAGGAGGAGGGTCCACAATGGACAGAATTGGACAAAACTGTAACTAAACCCTGCGTTGGCCTCATCAAAACCACCAAATCACTGCTAAAGAAAACCATGGAATGTGTCCAGACAAATGGACAGACACAGCAGTCTACAGAGATTCAGGAGCTAGACAAATTGGCAGACCTAGCGGAGAGACTGAGCCCCGCTGTGGACGACCTGATTTTGGACTTGTATCCTCCAATGGTCAGGGAGAACGTTCAGGAAAAGGTAACAATAAGTTCAATAATCCATTTGGGCTTTGGTACCATCTGTCAGACATATTAATGCTGAAAAGTAACTACTTTTATCACGTTTCTTTGTTTTCTGATTTAATTTAATGCCTATGTACACATACAAAAACCTTCAAAATACATGTACATGAAATTGGAAAGCTAATTTTAAGTAAATATATTAATTAATCTTAGTGATCTTTTCTGATTGGTGTTTCCATCATCTATTTTTTAAGGTATTAAACTCTTTTTCATCAAACTTGCCAAACAGTCTCATCTTTTATAATCACAACCATCATTATGTTGTTGTACATTCAGTTTATTTCAATTAGGGGCCTTCAATGATTTCTTGTTAAGAACATTACAAAGGTACAAATCTGCAAATTAATATGCAAGCAGTCTCCGCTATCATAGATTATGCATGTAGTTTAATTAAATCATGGTCTTTTAAACTACTATAGATCACTAAATTTTTGCGATGCCTTATTTTGGCAAAATATACAGGGGGCAGTAACATACTATGTGTGATTTTATGCAATCACTATATATACAAAAAGGAAAAGGGAACCAACGTTAGCCTGAATTTACATTGGGTCAATCTAAAAAATACTGTGTTTCTTTCAGGAAATACCTTGCAGCCAATAACATAACAAATGGAATCATAAGCAATAATTTTTCTTTAATAAAAATGTAACCTCATTCATTTATATAGCATTTAAGTAAGGTTACATTAACTTGATATCCAGTTGTGCAAGTTGATGTACTTTAAGTTGTCCACTAAAACGAGGAAAAATTCGCACATTAAATCCAGTTTTGAAGTCTTTCCAAAGCTGGAAAACGCAAACTATAAATTTAGCTTTCACTATAATCATCTTTCTCTTTTGATATTTGCAATGAAAACATCACATCTCTCTGATTTAAAGAATTATGGTGGCTTTCTTGGTACACAGAGAGGCACAAGCCAAGAACAGACATTTTGGGGAACCCCAGGCAAGTTGGAAGGCGAAAAGTGATTGGTCAAAAATGTACTAGAAAAACTTTGACCAATCACATCCCGCATGAAATCTTGGATGGAGTGCTGAGAGAAATTAGTGGACCACTTAAACTACATCAATTTGCATGACAGGATATTGTGTTTTTGAAACATGGCTTAAAAATTTTGTAAATGATCCTGATAATATTTTTATTAAAAAATAATTACTGCTGAATGATTCCAGTCATTATTTCACTGGCTGCAAGGTATTTTATTGAAAATACGGAGAGTTTTTCAGTTTGACGCAATGTAAATTCAGACTCATGTTGGTTTCTTTTTATGCCCCCGTAATCGAAGATTCGGGGGCATATTGTTTTTGCCCTGTCCGTCCATCTGTCTGTCTGTCTGTCTATCTGTCTAGCTGTCTGTTTGTCCGTAAAAACATTAACCTTGCCCATAACTTTTGATTAGTTGGAGCTATGGCTTTCATATTTCACATGTGTATTCCTTGTAACAAGACCTTTCTTTGGGTACCATCACATTTGACCTTTTGACCTTGGATTTTGACCCACTTTTGCAAAATTTTTTGAGACTTTAACCTTGGCCATAACTTTTGAACACTTGAAGCTTGGGCTTTCAAACTTCACAAGTGTATTCCTAGTGAGAAAACCTTTCTTTGGATGCCAACATCTTTGACCCTTTGACCTTGAACTTGGAATTTGACCTACTGTTGAAAAAACCTTAACCTTGGCCATAACTTTTGAATAGTTTAAGCTAGGTCTTTTATACTTTGCATGTGTACTCCTTTTGACAAGACCTTTCTTAGCATACCAACAATTTTGACCTTGGCCTTGGAGTTTGACCTACTTCAAATTTGAAAAATTTATCCTTGGTCATAACTTTTAAACAGTTAGTGCTACAGTTTTCAAACTTCACATATGCATTCCTTGTGACAGAACCTTCCTTCAAATACCAACAACTTTGACCTTTTGACCTTGACCTTGGAGTTTGACCTATTTTTGAAAAACTTTAACCTTGGCCATAGCTTCTGAACAGTTGGTGTGAGGGCTTTCGTACTTCACATATGCATTCCCTGTGACAAGACCTTCCTTTAGATACCAACAACTCTGACCCTTTCACCTTGACCTTGAAGTTTGACCTACTTTTGAAAAACTTTAACCTTGGCCATAACTTCTGAACAGTTGGTGTTAGGGCTTCATACTTCACATATGCATTCCCTGTGACAAGACCTTCCTTTAGATACCAACTCTGACCCTTTCACCTTGACCTTGGAATTTGACCTACTTTTGAAAAACTTTAACCTTGGCCATAACTTCTGAACAGTTGGTGTTAGGGCTTCATACTTCACATATGCATTCCCTGTGACAAGACCTTCCTTTAGATACCAACAACTCTGACCCTTTCACCTTGACCTTGAAGTTTGACCTACTTTTGAAAACCTTTAACCTTGGCCATAACTTTTGAACAGTTGGTGTTAGGGCTTCATACTTCACATTTATATTCCTTGTGACAAGTTCTTCCTTTGGATACTAACGATTTTGGCATTAACTGTGACCTTGGAGTTTGACCTACTTTTAAAATTTTTAACATCGGCCATTACATTTGAATGTTGTTGCTAGGGCTTTTGGATTTCATGATCATGTGTATCACTTGTGACAAGAACTTCACTAGAGCACCATTTGACCTTGACCTTGCCATTTTACTTCCTTTGAAAAAACTTTAACTTTTCAACGGTTTGTATTAGGGCTTTCATATTTCTCAGGTATATTCCTTGAGACAAGACCTTTCTTTGGGTACCAACATTTTTATTTCTTGACCTGGAGTTTGACTTGCATTTAAGAAACTTTAATCTTCTCCATAAGCTGCCAGACGGGGCATCAGTGTTTCACAAATACATCTTGTTCCTTTTTGTTTATATGGTGATGACATAAAATCAAGCAAAGTATGTAACGGGCCCTTGTGGCGAGATAGGTATTTTGGTAGTTATAAGAGATAAAATTTTCGTGAGCAAACGTGTAATTACACAAAAATAAGTTTTCATGAATAAAAAGTGGTTTACAATAAATGAGTCTTATCTAAATTTTGGCGAGTCTACCTTTAGACTAGCCATGTGCAGAGGGGTAATATGTTCTGTGTAAAATAATAAGACACACAAGTTTACTTGTAATTGGATGGTGTTGGTTCTATAGCCTTTCTTCTTTTATAGGGGAAAACCTTGTACGACACACAGAAGACAATTTTAGAGTTTCTAAGGTACTACATCCCGAGCATAAGTATGAAATTTTAAACAAGTTTTGAATCATATAATGAGAAGATTGAATGCCCTTGTCTTTTCATTTTAATTGAACATTGCAGCCAATGATAGTTTTGCTTTCTCTGTCTTTTCACATTGTTCTTATTTTACAGACTTTCACCAATAGTATGCAAAGTATGCTACAGATTCCTCTTTTTTTCCAGATCAGCTCATATGACAGGAGAAAATGAACAAAAATGGCTGGAATTTTTATTGAAAGCAAATCAGCATAATTATGAGAATATTTTAAAATCATCTGATGACAATTTTACCAAATAAACATATTAAAATAAAAAAAACTAAGATGCTCAGGAAATGTTATTTAGAGTGCAGTGATTAAATCAGGTAATGGCATGACTAGTGCAGATTTAATAGTAGAATTTTACTTTTATGAAATGAGTCAGCAAGTTTGAAACATAAGAAAACTATGCTTTCTTTTTGGCATTACTTATAATGAACATCCCAAATTAATGAGTTAGAGTGTCTATTGTACTGATGCAGTGTAGCATCGGATTTCTTCAAATCATGTCCTTCAAAGGTATGGTGGGGTCACAATAAAGGGTGTTAAAGTTAAGACCTATGTATATGAGTTTATACTGTTTTTAGTGCTAAATACAATACTATGTTAGAATTAATTAATTTAACTTTTTCCCTTACTCTTTGGCTATAATTGAAGCATTTTCATGGCATTCAATTTGAAATCATTTGAAAAGTAACCCCAATACATCTGTACCTATATTTAGTAAAAAAAAATGATTTAAAGAAGAACATATACTAGTAACTGATATCTTTCTGCTAGACTGTAGGCAATCTGGATACCATCTTCACTAGCCAAGGGTGATGATCTGCTCCTCTCCTCTTTTCAAATGAGGAGAGGAGCAGATCATCACTCTTGGCTAACGAAGATGTCTGGATACATTTTCTTTTATTTGGAAAAAAAAGAAACATTTTTATAACTTTTTTCATTTTTATTGAAAATGACAGTTAAAAACAAGCATTCTGAGAGTATTGCATGAGCAATACTAGTCCCCTACTGGCAAGTGTAATCTGGTTACCGTTAAAAAATGCCATAATTCCGTCAAAAATCATTGAAGTGGAACGAAATGCAAACTTGATCTATAAGTAATCAAGGTAAAGTCACATACCAAAAATCAGCTCAATATCTCCAAGCGTTTAGAGAAAAAATCACGGAAAACCCTTAAAAATTGAAAAGGTCGTAATTCCATCAAAAATCAATGAAGCGGAACAAAATGCAGCTGATTTTGAGCTGATTTTTGCTATGTGAGTGTATCTTGATGAGTTACAGATTAAGTTTGCATTTCGTTCCGCTTCATTGATTTTTCGTTTTTCTCATTATGACGTCAGAATACATAAGGGCCCTTTTCGCATGGGACGGCGATAAACGTGAAGGTGAAAAATTAAATCTCAGTTATAACAAAATTTTCTTTGATATTTCATCTAACATTAAAGCATACTTAATGTAAAATCTCCAAAATTTGCAAAGATCTCACAAAGATTGAAATTGTTTGCCTATGAAATGGCATACACACACTAAAGAGGGCAAAAAGGATCATTTTCTCTTACTATAACATATTTTTTTTAATATGAGTGGGTCTTTACTCCATTTTTTGAAAGTTTATCTTTAAAGTTTTTGTAAAAATATAATCTTCTTGGTTAACAAAAAGATGGAGCAAAGACCCACTATACTTTAAATATATACTTTTATAACACAGCATTCGTATATTTCCGAGAAATAGTTAAATCCGTTTAGTCAAGGGTCATATCACAAACATGATTTAAATGCCACTCTTTATCAGGAGCAGTGTAGCTTAATGGTTAGCGTGTTAGACTTCAATGAAAATGATACTCAGGATTTATTGCTCTAGTTCGAACCCCACGAATAGCACATTATTTTTTAGTAACAGAATAAATTTTACCAAGATTTTTTTTTTACTCAGAAAAGTTTTGTTTATCACAATTTCATAAATTCCAATAAAGATAACTTTACTCTATATACTAAATTCACAAAATGAATATGATTTTCACATATCTGAAGCTATATAGGCATTCTGCACACCTTGTTCACCCATCTCCTTTATTTCTAAAACTGTGTAACACATGTAACTCAAACTTTATAGACTTCTCATGTAGGGAGAGGGCGAAATAAGTTTTAAGACATGGCCGTAGGAACCGGGGGGGGGGGGGCGTGCCCCCCCCCCCCCCCCAATAATTTTGCCGATATATAGATTACTACAGTAAACATACATACTATAAGCTTGTGCCCCCTCAATAAAAATGTCTGATGACCTGATGTCTGAAATCCTTGGACCCGGGGTGCATATTCGGGGGAATGGGGGGTTCCTGTGCACAAGCATCTGGTGGTAAGTCTATGTGATCAGTAAACGTGAGATATAAACGAACCTGACTTCGAGACCGTAAACTGAGAACAAACTTAAGTCAAAATTTTATTTTTGAACATCTTGAGTTTCATTTGATATACATGCTTAAAAATATGCAGGTTTGTATTAATAATGGTATTCAAATTTACATAAATGATGAAATTTGATTTTCATTATCAAAAAAATTTCAAAAAGTTATATTGATCTGAAATTTTGACAGAAATCTATTTTCTGTTTATGGTCTTTGGGCCTGGCACCGTGTCAGAATATACCGATAAAGCTCATATACGTCTGCCCCATTGTATATTTTATTTTATAAAAAAAAATCTGACAAGCTGATTTTTTTATTTAAAAGAATTCAATTTTTAAACTCGAACATTTTTAAAGGAAATCCTGAATGCAGACATAGTCAACAAAACAGGTATAATTAACCTTAAAATAATTTGTTGGATTGATTCTTTTTTTTCAAACTCATGATGATAGACACGAGCAGGAAACAAAGATTATTTTGTTGAAAATTATTTACAATCTGATCATTTATGAAACAATTTTACAATTATGATGCGGATAGACACACGCATGATTATATCATAATATACTGACCAATTCAATTTTCAAAGGAAGTTAAGGAAAACACTTCAAATCTTAAATTAATATTGGTTGACAAATCTATACATGGTTCACATTCTACGTACAATAAATAAATTTATGTGATTTTCTACTTCAAATACTTGAAATTGTTTTTTTTCATATCCCTAAAATTTTTGAGTGTTTTTCTGTGTTTATTTGGTACTGTGGACTGAGGAGGGCAGATTTAGTCAAAGGACGCAGTAGACATTAGCGATATCGATATTTTGATAATATACTAAGGTCAACTGAGAAGAAATGCTAAGAAAGGTAAATTTAAATACTTAAAAACTGAAATACTATAATTGTGGCATGTAAATGATTTATCTGTGATTATTTTAGTTTTAGATCTTCAGTATTCTAAAAGATAGATCCCACATCTTATGTCAACTATTACTTTATTAGAAAATCATAAATTCTGGGCATGACATATTTGAAAATTCCTCTTACTTCACATTATTTTTCTCTAATCAATGTCAATAATCAAGAGATTCCTGCTGTATAATGTGAATCTAATTTTCAAGTAACTTCTACCCATCCCAAATACGGTAAAATTCAAACAATGTCACTACATGTTTCAACAAGCACTCGGAGAGTATTGCATTAGCAATACTAGTCCCCTACTGGAAATTATAATCTGGTTCCCATTAAAAATTGAAAATGCCGTAATTCCATCAAAAATCATTGAAGCGGAACATAATGCAAACTTGATTTATACCAAAATTCAGCTCAATATCTATCTGCAAGCATTTAGAAAAAAAAAAAAGTGCGTAAAACCTCTAAAAATTAAAAAGACAGTAATTCCCAAAAAATCATTGAAGCGGAAGGAAATCCAAAATTAATCTGTAACTCATCAAAATACACGAACATACCGAAAATCAGCTCAATATCTGGCCAAAATTTAAAAAAAAATGTTTGTTTGCCCTTTTCCGACCCAGACTTTTAACAATGGGTAGGTAGGTAGGAAAAATATTTTATTTTTTTCTTCTGAAAATTATACAAAGAAGCATAACGACCAAAATGCTCATTAACGAGTCACTTTCGATATTGCTGCTCTTCAGAAGGTTGTTTTTGAAAGATTTTTCTACATTCCCATGAAAAATTGTGGGTCCACCCTAGGCTTAAGGACTCATAACATAACCGAATTTAATCTACCCTACATGGGGATTCTGAATACTAGCTAGTATGACTAATGTGGCATCGCTTTTATAAAAGAAAAAATGTTCGAAAATGATTTTCCCCTTCATGCATGATTGTACATGGGCAATAGGGCACTTTATGCTACAATAAGAAAAAGTTATCGACATGTTTTCTGTTGCAAGCTTAAAATTTATAAGGCCTTGAGTTGGTTTATTTACTTTTTGTCTGCTTATATTAATTTGTGTAAAAAAAAATTCAAGGGGTGGGTGGGTGGGTGGGTTAAGAATTAGAAAAAATGGAAAGGGCATTTTTTTTTCTATGGTAGATGATATATCAAGTGAAATCTCATCATATCAAAAATTTAAAAAAAAATATATTTAAAAAAAAAATGACGTAAATCCTATTGATAACCTTTTTCTGGCTTAGAAACATTGAACCTGCGGGTATGAACTTAAAAGTTTGAATATCATTTCATGTATTTGACTTTTGACGTTATACTCTGTGTTTCCAAGCCCATTTCTCATCCAAATTTTAAGTTCTAGAACATTTATGTAAGTTGACTTAATGTATCTGAAGGTAAAAACAGCAGCCACTTTTCCTCATCAACGATGCTTTTTTTTCTACTTTCGGTTTTAAAAAGCACCTCCAATTTTGAAATTATTTAAATCTATTTAATAATGATTTATGTCTGCTATCTTTTACAAATTATGCTCTAATTTTCAGTGATAATTTTCTATCCCCTATTACTACTTCTGTCAGCTGTGGGCGTTCAAGCGAGAAGTGATTTCCTGTACATTTCACACCTTGAATTAACACCTTTGCGTGCATTAAATATTGCTGCATGCACTGAATAAACAAAATAGCTATTCTAGAATTAACACAGTTTTCGCCAATTACATTTTATTTTTAACGCTACATGTACTAATCAAAGCATGTAAATGAATTTAAAAAAGTTTTTAACAAGATTAAAACAAACTGGTTTGAGATTATTTAAAAGAAAAAAAATGTAAATGAAAGGAGGAATAAAATATTTTGAGTCGGGCGAATTTTCGTGGTTCGGTCGGCTGAGGGCAAACAAACAATATTTTAATTTAGGAGCGTTTAGAAAAATGCGGAAAACCGTTAAAAATTAAAAAGGCCGTAATTCCCTCAAAAATTATTGTCAAAGCGGAGCAAAATCCCAACTTGGTCTGTATCTCTGTAAGATGCACTCACATACCAAAAATGAGCTCAATATCTGCATGTTTTTTTTTATAGGAAAAAAGTGCGGAAAACCAAGTGGGACAGACTTACAGACAGACGGACAGATAGACAGCTAGATAGACAGAAGGACAGAGAGCAGGAAACCTATAGTTCCTTCCAGTTTCACCTGTAAGGGTCTAATAAGAATTTAAGTGTGGACAGGGAATGCGACGACCATGGTCTTTTCTGCCAATGATTCTGACAAAATGTTGGCATAAACTCGAGTTGTCTTTCTTTTTTAAATGTTTTTATGTGACCTTTTTCTGATGGAAAAAATCAAGCATCAGCATTTCATTTCTAGACCCATCTCAGAACACAAATATGTGACATTCCTCCTTAAGATGAAAAGGAATCTGTTCACAATTTTGATTTGTAGGACATTTCAAGGCAACCTGACAGATTCACTCGAGGTCAAACAAGAACAGAGATTATGGTCAGGGATAAAAAATAATATTTGCAATTTCAATAAATTTTGATATAATCAAATACAGTAATGATATAAATATTAAAGCCTTTAAAACCGGATTAGGGGCGGTATTTTAGATTTTAATAGAAAACATTGGCACATCAAAGCGGGTGGGTTCGTAATATTTTAGGTAAACTATTATAGAAATAAATCGAAGTTATGTGGATATAGATAATATTCACTACAATTCGAATTAAAGAATGTAAACGAAATAGAACGTTTATTCAGCTCAAGACGTCTAGCGCGGCAAATATTACGAAACCGTAGCTGGGGGAGAGTGCAGAGAACATTTACACACAGTAGAACAACTCTTACCTAAATTTATAAAAAAAAAAAAAAAAAAAACAGTAAAGGTTAAAGAATTATACTATAGACTGGAATTGCCGATGTCTGAGGGCTTTCTTATGCCGTCATCCATTTGCAATGATATAACGTATTCATGAAGTCATTAAGGGAATGAAAAAAATATCCTAAGCTACATTGATCAAATCACAGAATTTCAAGTGGTGGGAGCAATGTACACTCCTCCCCCGCCCCAAAAAGTCCCGCTTCAGGAAAGAAGCGTCCACCAGACTGAGATAAACGCATATACTTCTACCACTGCTGATAATCTTTTCCCTTTTTAATCTTCTGAAGATTTGCTTTCGTTTATATTCATATTTCCATTGTATTTTCACATGGCTGCATTATGATCGAGTAAGCAAGAAGTCAGAAATACTATTAAGACAGAAAAATAACAAATTAAAATGAAATCTTTAATAACATATAATGATCAACTGCCCAGTAAAGTTAAAATTCTTTATGACTTCTTTTATATAGCATCTCGTTTACTCTTCGTGAAATTTATTGTAAAATCTGTACAATATTTTACGAGCAGATCAAACTACTGGTCCTGATTGTTTCCATGACAGTTGGAACCTCAGCTAAATATAAATGGAACCATGGATCATTCTGTCCGGAGACGCCATGTGTGTGCTGGAATCCAGAAACAGCAGATTGTACATATCGGAACCTTAGATCTATTTTCTTTGATCTCCCCTCCAGTATTAAGACATTAATTCTAACAGGAAACAAGTTTTCAAGTGTGTTGGATGATACGTTTATTAATTTAATTAATCTTAACATTACAAGAATATCGATGGACCATTGCCGTGTGAATTCCATTTCCCGTCGAGCATTTGAGTACTTTGAACATTTGATTTTTCTGGATTTATCTTACAACAGTTTAACATTTGATGATCTTGAAACTGCCATGTGTTCTCTTAATAGGTCGCATCTTCAAATTCTCAATATTTCTGGAAATGACTTGTTCGTTAATCCCGGTTTTCCGACGTTAGGTTTCTTTAAGTGTGTTTGGCTCAGAGAGTTAACAGAAGTTGTTATGACTGAGGGTACCATGGAAATGCCCGATTTTAGATTATTTTCCAGCCTGAAAAAACTTGAAATCTTAGATTTACGTAAGAACGAAATCTCTTATATTAAACAATATAATCTTACTAAATTAAAGAATTTAAATTTAGCTGATAATAAGATACAAGATCTGCCATTTTTCCTATTCTCTAATTTAAAAGTATTAAACATGACAAAGAACAAACTATCGGTAATAGACAAACTTCGAGAAAATGTATCTCTGCCTAAACTTGAATACTTAAATCTATCTGATAATCCAATTACCCGAATACAATCTTCATCTTTTGACCGATTGAAAAATTTAAAATCATTAATAATTGACCACATCAAAGAAACCATTGTAGATAGCTATACCTTTGCATCTGATTCACTAGAGATTCTTTCTATTGGCAACATTGCATATTTCCCCACAAGCATTTTTAGTAACTGTCTTAAATTGCAATCTTTAACTATATTGAACACCGAATTTTCTGATAAAAATTTTACAGAATTTATACTGCCATTGAAAAGGCTTCATACACTTCGGATATCTCACAGTAAAATCAAATTTATTCCTACTCTGCAAAATTTTTCAAGATTATTACATCTGGATTTAAGTCAAAACAGTCTCAAGAACATCCAATCAAGTGTATTTGATGATCTTAAAAGTATTCGTAGCATCGTATTGCATCACAATTTAATTTTGTCAATAGACTATATCTCATTTCCTTCTTTTGTTTGGAAGAACAAAGCGATTTCTCTTGATCTATCCTCAAACCCTTTTGATTGTGGCTGCCAAGTAATATGGTTTGTAAAATGGTTAAGAAATAACAAAGAGAGAGCAGAAAACTTTCCTGATTCGTACAAATGTGTTTCACCAAGTGACAAGCACGGTCTTCTCGCCAATTTTGATGCATCAGATTGTTATCGTCCAAACCAATATTTAATCCTTTCATTTACAATCTGTGGGTGCTTATCCATAATGTGTTTTACAGCAATTATTTTAAGAAAACTCCGTTGGGATATAAAATATTACATTCATATTTACAAAACTAGGAAACCATCGAGATACAAGCGTATATTGGATGACGAATTCCTTTATGATGGGTTTGTTGCCTATAACACTAGTGACAGGCAGCGGATTATGTCTGAACTTATAGAAAACTTAGAAAAGAAATATAACTTTAAACTTTGTCTGCAGGAAAGAGATATCCTTCCAGGTGGCATTTTCGTAGATGATATCCATCATAGCATTGAAGCTAGTCGTAAATTTATTTTGGTTTTGTCTAACAATTTTATGAGTGATCAGTGGTGTAGATATGAGGCATTAATTGCAAATCTTACAGTAGTAGATGGAAGATCTGAGAAGGTGCTTATTGTCCTGCTTGGAGAAATAAGTTCCCAGTATATGACCAATTCAATGAAAACTCTGATGAAATCAACCGTAAATCTAGAGTGGACGGAGAAAGCAAGCGGGAAAAAGTTGTTTTGGACAAGAATTCAAATTGAAATGCATAAATAAACTAAATATATGATATTTTTATTACTAATTTCATGTAAGTAATGATTTTATTTAAAAATTTATCTAAATGATAGATATTAATAATATTTACATGTAAATAGTGCATGTTTCTGAGAGAAACAGTTGAAATTGACACCCCTCTGAAAACCACTGTAAATCAACCGTTGAATTTTTTTTTTACTCAGGTCTCAATTTCAACTGTTACACTCAAAAACATGCACTACATGCATTCAATTATTATAATTTTATTGTATTGTATTGCACTGAATGTCTTATTGATATATGATGTATTAAAAAAGTCATATATAATCTTTAAGTTCAAGTTTTATAAAGATTTTAACTCTTCGCTTCCGCTTTTCTCAATAAGTAAGCTTCTAAAAGATTTACCGACCTCTTCATTATTTATTATTTGTTTATTACTCCCTTTATTGTCATCCCTTGTGAAATGACACATTAAGATTGAAAACCGGAAGTGAAAATCTGTTGTGAAAAACTGTCACTAATTAGCTGGTGGTCTGGTAAATATGAAACTAATGATGATGCGATTTCTTCATGCAAAATAAAACTGCAGAATGAGCCACCTATGAAACAAAACCCAAGTAAAGGACAAGGAGAGCGATACATTCATGTATTATATGCTGATTTTTGACGATGTTTATGAGAATAATATAAATAATAGATACGAACATTGTAATGAAATGCAAAGATAACGAACCGTAATCATGTTCGAAATACCAATCGTGAGCAGAGCCAACACTGCGATTGTGTAATTCTATAGAAAAAGAAATGTCCAGACTAATGCTATGGTCATTTGTGCGATGTGCGTAAACTTTTTGGAATTTGGTCCATAGAATCACTTGGTCAATTTTTGTCAAATTAGTCACAGAGTAGCCTTAGGACAAGATCTTTCATTTTTATTAAAAATAGGAAGAGACTCTTAATCAAGGGGAGATAATTAGGGAAATAAGAATAAAAGTAGTAGTTGCTATGGATATATCGAAGAGTAAAATTTATTCAAGGGTTTGTCCTTGGGCAAAAGGCGTGGTCTCAAGATCACTTTAAACTTGATCTAAAATTATATTCTGTTAAAATTTTGATATTTTGCCCACCATAAGGATCATCAAATCTTGTCAGTTGATGCATCTTAGGACCTCATGTCATGTTAATTTTTGAATTTTTCAGGTATTCATTATCAGTATGATTGTGATGCGTATCTTGGACACTTTGAAGCCTATGATCATCAAAACTTGTCAGTTTATGCATTATGGAGCTTAGAAGTGTGTCAATCAAAAAGTTGGTCACCCTAAACTTCAATTGTGAGCTTATGGCTAATCATATTCAAAACATTCAAGGTCATTATTTCAGACACTGAGAGATTAAGAGAGAATTAGAATCATCACACTTTGTCAATTGATGCACCTTAGGTCCTTGGAAATTTTAAACCAGAAAGTAGGCCACAGTGACCTAGTTTTGGTATTTTATGGCTACATTTAAATATTTTAAATACTAATTGGCTTAGAATCATTTAACTTTGTTAGTTGATGCATCTTGGGTCCTCAGAGTGCGAAAAGTAGGTTATGGTACCTACTTTTAGATTTTTAAGGCTACACCAATATCTAAATGTTTCCAATAATAATAGGCTTAGAATCATTAAATTTTTTCAGTTGATGCATCATGGGTCCTCGGAGGTTTTCAACCAAACAGTAGGTCTGAACTATTTTTGGAATTTCACAGTTATTATAATAAGAGGCTTTAATTCATTAAATTTTGTCAGTTGATGCATCGTAGGTCAACGGACTGCGTCAATTAAAAATTTGGCCACAACGTCCTACTTTTGGAATTTGATAGTTGTATCTCTATATATAGGGTACTTAATGGCTTAGAATGATTAAGTCCCAAAATTGATTCGATGCACTAGAACATGTTATACATACAAACAATTTCTAAAACGAGACAGTCTATTGGCAAAAATGTTGATGATACAAGGAAATCAGCAATCTCAATTTAAGTCAATAATTTGCAAATTATTTTTTCAGTATATCCCTGTGAACTAGAAATAAAAAACACCACAGAGTCTGCCAGATCTGTTTCATATTCGGATGTTTTACTGACTCTAGTCGATAAGGGCCAACTAATAACGAAACTGTATGACACAACAAGATGACTTTAGCTTTTTCATCGTCAACTTTTCTTATTTGTGCAGTAATATTCCGCTATCACTCATACGGGATTTACGTCTCCCGACTTATTCGATACTAAAAAACATGATCTGAGTATTTTTAAAACAAGGCAAACTACTGACAGATAAGTTGATGTTACAGGGACTTCAAGAACCCTTTTTATAGTCCGCATTTCATAAATTCTATGGACAATATTATGACCCTGTTAGAAAATATAACCTATCATTGGGTCGTATTTTGGCTGACGTTTTTCATACAATTGTTGGGTCTTTGTTTTTATACTATTTTGACTACGGAATATGTTCTGTACTTAGAGCTCAGGGCAGGTGTGACCGGTCAACAGGGGATGCTTACTTCTCTAATACACCTGATCCCACCTGTGGAATTTCCGGGGGGGGGGGGCATGTTTAATGCCCTTTAAGTTAAAGGCTTTAACAGATTTGTATTGTTTGTGGATTCTTTTTTTTTTTTTTTTTTTTTTTTTAGATCGATCACTGTTATTTACATCTTTTTCACTTCATATTTAGATGTGGTACTGACTATAGATGATAATGTCCAATTATTATTGCCGTTAGGCCTCAGGCAAACAGTTTGGTTCAAGGGATCGACAAAACGCATTTTGCTCGAGAATCTAGTCAATAAATGTTTTGTTATACCTTTCATTTATTTATTTATTTTTTCATACATGTATCTTTTGCTGGCTTCAATACCAACGAAAGCAAATAAGATTTAGCTGATCCTGCCCACAGTGTGACGTAAGAGGTCCAATATCTCGTCCAAAGGTCCAATATCTCACTGTGCGGTCAAACAGCGATTTTTTATGACCGCAGTAAAACATTAGAAATGTTAGACTTTTAAAAGTATAGATTTATAAAGGAACTAATTTTTTGAGTATAACAATATCATTTACTAGGGATCGGGTGGGATTGGTCAAGAAATAATTAATTCAAAGAAATTTTTTATCCCATACCCTACAGTTTAGAAAAGGCATTTGTCCAATCCTTTTATGGGAAGAAGTCAAGTTAATATTAATATAAAATTATTTTGTTAAAAAACATTCTGATTGTACACACAAATACTCTGAAGTTAACATTAAAAAGATGCTTGAGTTTCTGATTGACAATACCTATGTGGTTTTTGGAGACCAGGTCTTCCAACAATCTATTGGAATTCCCATGGGTACCAATTGCGTCCCGTTATTAAAAGACCTTTTTTTGTATTCATATGAAGCAGAATTTGTCCAAAATCTTATACGTGAAAAGAAGAAAACACTTGCTATGGCCTTCAACTCGACATTTAGATATATCGACGACGTATTATCAATTAACAATGGTTATTTCCATTCTTATGTCGATACGATATATCCCCGTGAGCTTGAGATAAAAGATACCTCAGAGTCTGACACATCTGTTTCATAGTTTGATATTTTACTTGAAAAAGACGTTAATGCTAATCTAACAACCAAGCTTTATGATAAACGTGATGACTTTAACTTTTCAATCGTCAACTTCCCTTACTTATGCAGCAATATACCTTCATGACTACTGATAGATGACTACAACTTGTAGGTATGGATTCCATTAACTGAAGAAATGTTGGTATTTTCTATTTCAGAACTAGAGGTCAGAGGATTTAAATGTGATTTTGGATTACATGCAATCGGAAAATGTATAAAAGTTTGTTTTTTTTTTAATTCAGATTTTACAAAGACATTTTGGGGTAAAGTCTCCTCAGAGACCCCCTTATAATCCGCACCATATGTGCCTACAGCTTTCTGGATTGGATAGCATAGATCTATATATACATTGACATTATTAATAATAATAGTATAATGACAATGAAAAAAAAAAGATAAATTTCTAAACAAAAATGATATAAAAGTATTCCGTATTTTTTTCTTCCCTTTTGTAATGTCAAGATTTATACAGTACAAATGATATCCGGTTGTAACTTTGAATATAAACATTGAGTTATCTTCGACTTTTTTTTTTTTTTTTTTTTTTTTTTAAACAGTCAAATAATGCAAAAAGACTCGAGGTAAAATTAAAATCTACAGGTTATGTGTATAAAAATTTACTGCTTATGAAATCCGTGTTATCATAGAGGTTCCATTTCACCTTCCAAAGTCCATATTGACCCCCACTTGTTAACATGCTTCTTTGGTCAGGCTACCCAAGAAGCTTTGGATTTCATAAGTTGTTACGTAATTATAACATGAAGGGAAAATGCTCTATTAACTATGAATTATATATGTCTTTCAACATTTATACACATTTCAGCTAGTTTGAAATTTTTATATGACATTTTTATAATATTATAGTACATCAATAAATTGCTCTTCACAAATTTTATCAAATTTTCAGTAATACATGGTTCACAATTTACACGACATGTCATTTTATATTTAAATATTTTCAGAGCTATATAAGAAATGAGTATGTTCAACATTTCAGATAGCTGAGTTTCTTCAAAAAAAAACAATTACTATATTTTTCCAGCCAATATTGAACTTCAATGATTGACTTACTTTTTTCCATATATACAAGGAATCATTACACTTATATAAAAGATGTTCTATATTTTCTATTTCACCACACTTGTGACAGAATCTATGCACATCAGTATTCCATTTACTAACATTCAGATTATTATTCAACAGTTTATGTAACAGTTTATAATTAAAATCAGCAATTTGTCTATCAAACATTTTGGTAATTTTCATATGAAAATTTTTTGGCCATATTGATCTAGGAATATCAAATAGATCAGTCCAGTATTTTACAGTTACAGGTTGGTGAAATTTCTTTGCTCTCAATATGT